TGTCATATTTACAGTTAGAGAAAGTTAGTGTTGATATTCATTAAACTTTATTAATGTTATATTTACAGTTAGAGAAAGCTAGTGTTAACTTTTCTTACTCTAATAATGTTGTCTTTAGAGTTACAGAAAGCTAGTGTTAACAAATCTAACTCTATTAATGTTATATTATAAGACAACTGGTGTTGACATTTATTTAACTCTATTAATGTTATATTTACAGTTATAGAAAGCTAGTGTTGACATATTTAATTCTATTAATGTCATATTTGCAGTTAGAGTAAGCTAGTGTTGACATTTCTAACTTTAATGTTGTATTTACAGTTAGAGAAAGCTATAGTGTTGACATTTATTTCACTTTATTAATGTTATATTTACAGTTATAGAAAGCTAGTGTTGACATATTTAATTCTATTAATGTAATATTTGCAGTTAGAGTAAGCTAGTGTTGACATTTCTAACTTTAATGTTGTATTTACAGTTAGAGAAAGCTATAGTGTTGACATTTATTTCACTTTATTAATGTTATATTTACAGTTATAGAAAGCTAGTGTTGACATATTTAATTCTATTAATGTCATATTTGCAGTTAGAGTAAGCTAGTGTTGACATTTCTAACTTTAATGTTGTATTTACAGTTAGAGAAAGCTATAGTGTTGACATTTATTTCACTTTAACAATTTGATCAATCTTATGAAATTTATGAGGTTGTAGCTTTATCAAAACTTTTAAAACCAATAACCATGTAGTTCATCCTTCATTTTAATGAATAATCTCGTCTTTATATTATCCTCGAATGATACATTTTTGAGGAGAATTTCGCATTGAGGCACAAAATGGTTAAACTGTGTGAAGAAAATATTGTCTATTTTGATACTGGGATCCACTCTCTTTGGATATATTTACAGTTAAAGAAAGCTAGTGTTGACATATGTAACTCTTTTTATGTTTTATTTACAGTTAGAGAAAGTTAGTGTTGATATTCATTAAACTTTATTAATGTTATATTTACAGTTAGAGAAAGCTAGTGTTAACTTATCTAACTCTAATAATGTTGTATTTACAGTTAGAGAAAGCTAGTGTTCACATATCTAACTCTATTTATGTCATATTTGCAGTTAGAGAAAGCTAGTGTTAACTTTTCTTACTCTAATAATGTTGTCTTTAGAGTTACAGAAAGCTAGTGTTAACAAATCTAACTCTATTAATGTTATATTATAAGACAACTGGTGTTGACATTTGTTTAACTCTATTAATGTTATATTTACAGTTATAGAAAGCTAGTGTTGACATATTTAATTCTATTAATGTCATATTTGCAGTTAGAGTAAGCTAGTGTTGACATTTCTAACTTTAATGTTGTATTTACAGTTAGAGAAAGCTATAGTGTTGACATTTATTTCACTTTATTAATGTTATACTGTTAGAGAAAGCTAGTGTTGACATATCTAACTCTATTAATGTTATATTTACAGTTAGAGAAAGCTAGTGTTGACTTATCTCACTCTATGTCATATTTGCTGTTAAAGTTTACAAGCTAGTGTTGACATTTCTAACTTTAATAATGTTATATTTTCAGTTAGAGAAAGCTAGGGTTGACAAATCTAACTCTTTGAATGTTTTATTTAAAGTTAGAGAAAGCTAGTGTTGACATTTATTTAACTTTATTAATGTTATATTTACAATTAGAAAAAGCTAGTGTTGTCATATCTAACTCTATTAATGTTATATTTACAGTTAGAGAAAGCTAGTGTTGACATATCTAACTCTATTGATGTTATATTTACAGTTAGAGAAAGCTAGTGTTGGCATATCTAACTCTTTTTAAGTTATATTTACAATTAGAAAAAGCTAGTGTTGACATATCTAACTCTATTAATGTTATATTTACAGTTAGAGAAAGCTAATGTTGACATATCTAACTCTATTGATGTTATATTTACAGTTAGAGAAAGCTGGTGTTGACATATCCAATTCTATTAATGTTATATTTACAATTAGAAAAAGCTAGTGTTGACATATCTAACTCTATTAATGTTATATTTACAGTTAGAGAAAGCTAATGTTGACATTTCTAACTCTTTTTAATTTACGAACTCGTTTTAATGCTCATAGGTCGGACATCAAATTAAAGAAAGACAAGCCTGTTTCTAATCATTTCAACCACGACGACCATTAAATAGACGATCTCACCCTAATCCCAATTGAGCGCATAGAAATTGACTTGACAATCTAGGGAAACCCATTGGATTGAGACATTCAATACAGCAAGACCTATAGGACTAAATATTCACCATAATTTAGGCATAGCACCCTTTGTTGTCCCGTTCAATACAACCAGCAATCGAGCAAGCAATATTGTTCATGCCCACTATAAGAGCCTTCAAAAGAAATTCCCCCATGTCTATAAGCAGAAAATGATAGTTGCATACTCAAAAAATAAGAACTTAAATGATAATATTGTTTATATAGTAAACTAAAAACAATCAGTACATAACAGATACTTTACTTCTCGCCCATTGGGCAAGTCATTTTTTCTAATTTCAGATCAGAATAAGAACAGAAGAACAATATCAAGATCCTTAATCCTAATATTTAAATAAAATGTCTGCTCCACCCTAGGCCTATACATTTGAAGAATCAAACCCTCCCTTCCCCGAAATCTATTAATGTTATATTTACAGTTAGAGAAAGCTAGTGTTGATCTATCTAATATGGCAGTTATTTATTGTGTAGATGTTGATTCTGTTCCAGTCTATACTCAATATTTTGATATTACTCTTATTCCATCAACTCTTTTCTTCTTTAATGCTCAACACATGAAAGTAGATTGGGGGTAAGTTGCTTTTCAAGCCAAAACTTCTAATACACATAAGTATTGATATCACTATCTGATATTATTCTAGATGATTGAAAGACCAATTCTGTAGGCAGCAAATGAATAAGTACCACAGAAATTGGATTAATTTTCTAAACCCATAGAAAGTCACACAATGCTATGAAAGACAAGATCTTGTTAGGACAGCTGTAAATTTAAATCTTGAGAAGTTAATTTAGTCCTTGCTAATTTTTTGCTATAAACATTATTTCAGGAGCCAAGATAATACTAAATATATTGGAAATTTCAAGAAAAAACAACATTTTATTGATGTAATAGAGACTATATATAGGGGTGCTATGAAAGGAAAGTTTATGGTGACAAGTCCTCTAGATCCTAGAGACATCTATAAATATGATCTTCTATATAAAGAAATATAGACAACTACTGCTCTGTTTAAGGATTCACCATCTGTTTGACCAATGCAACCTTAGTCTCAAAAACGGGAATCTAGTCAGTACTAGTGTTCACATGAACCTCACATGAACATGATCCTTCAAATCAATGTGCGGAATGATCTGCTTTTGCAAGTTAATGATGACTTTTTTTTTGAGACTCACATATATAGAAAAGACATACATTGATTAAGAAAGTAAAATTTTAGATTAAGGTATATTTGAAGGGATTATGTGATTTCCATGCAATTCTTAAACCATGGCCTTTAAACATTGAAACATTAGTGACAGAACACTGTTCACATCATGGATTGTATAATATATATTAGCAAGATTACAGGGTATGGCAGGAATAAAGAGTCTGAAGGTTTTGTTTAAATCTAGACATTCACTGTGCTGATAGACTTGACAAGTAATGTACAATTGATAAAATCCTTCTGTCATTCTTATTCAGAATTTAAATAGGTGGGTCAATGTAAATGTAAAACTGACATTCAAATAAATATGTGAATTATAAATTCAATCTTTTTCAAACACCCATAATCAGTTCAATTATTGGAACCATAAAGTTGTCTGTCTCAAAGCTTACTTTTTCTGTTGCCGAAAATTCTTTCCATGGAACCTTCAGATAACGATAAGAGCAAATAACAATTTGGAATGATGATTTATTTCTTGCCCTACTAACCAATAAAACAAAAGGTATAATATATATTTGATAATATTGCACTATAAGTCATAAAATATAATAAATCCATTACCCTTACATTACAAAGATAGCTTGCCAGACAAGGTAATATACACCCACTGGCAGCTTTAATTTTAAATAAAAATATTTGGCAGTACAGTAACAATCACCAGTATGAAATATTCAACCTTTCAGATATATGCTTCTTTTGAACTTTTTAAGGCGATACTAAATAATATTACTAAGTTTCATCAAAATCAATAAAGAATTAGGCCTTCTGGAGTGTTTACAGGCTAAAATTTGAATGCGGTTTTAAAAACAGGAGCAATTATATTTTCCTATTTTTCTGATTTTTGTTAGAGCTCATCTTTGGCTGATTACATACACTCATACCAAGTTTTGTCAAAATCCGTCAAGAATTGTGTCTTCTAGAGCTTTCTAGAGTGTTTATGTTCTACAAATTGAACACATTTTCAAGAACAAGGGCAATAACTCATATTAGTTATTTTTCAATTATTCTGATTTTCAATAGGGTTCATTCTTAGGTGACAACAAACACACCAAGTTTCGTCAATAACTGTCAATAATTGAACCTTCTAGAGCGTTTACGGGCTAAAAATTGAACGTGTTTAGGGCAATAACTCATACTAATTATTTTTCAATTATTCTGATTTTCAATAGGGTTCATCCATGAGTGATTACAAACAACCATACCAAATTTCGTCCAAATCAATCAAGAATTGTGCCTTATAGAGTGTTTACAAGCAATTGTGGACTGACAGCTGGACAAAGTGACGACAATATATGCCCCCCATTTCACGTGGGCATATAAAAACACTCCAACACAAAATGTATCATGTTCTATCAATAAATTAATCTATTTCTGAGTTAGATTTCAGGGAATACTTATTTCAGGACTGGTGACATGGCTATATACAGTATATTATATAACATGCAGTGTATTTTTGTGTTTGTGTCTTTTCAACTAAAATCATACTAATGACTAACTAATTTTCACACAATCAATAGACTTATCTATTGCTCTGTGACCTAGGCCAGTGCTTTCATTGAGACTCATCTCAATACACCCTAACACAACATTGAAAAAGTTTCACAGAGAATAAAATTTATATCTTGTCATGCTTTATCATAAATTCTGATGACTTATCTAATTTGGTTCAAAGTGCAAGGTAATTTCTTCTTAAAAGAATTCACTTTTGAAAATGAGGATAAAAATTCTGCAATGGTAGTTTCTGCAAATCTATCAGCATCTCTAACTATTGTATTTTAATGGGCAGATTTAAAGATAAGAAAAATACTATAAAAACTAAATATAGTAGCTGATATATATATATTTTGTTTATCAGTGGCAAGTTATGATTCTGGAGGTTCAGGTTTTACTTGTATTTTTAATTGTAGCTTCATGACAATATAATCACATAGTAAATACCATATACCACTATCACAGTAAAAATATGTCTCAAAATATTTCATTTTATAACTTGAGATAACCATAAAAGGAAACATAAAACAGCTTAGAATGACATGTCTCCTTAGGATGAAATTGGTCATTTATGTGTATAATGTAAGAAATAGTACCAAATATCAAGATAGCTTGCCAAGAAAGGTAATATACAGGTAAGAATTGTGCCTTGTAGAGTGTTTACGAGCAACTGTGGACAGACATAGATGACGGCAATATACAACCCCCCATTTCATGTAAGCATATAAAAAGGGTAGTCTGTTTGGACATTTTGATAAGACCATGTGTAAAATCTTCCCATGTAAGGAGTAATCCTTGTTTTATGAACTTCCTCAGCTGATAACTTTTTAAAGTAAGTCTGATTTGCACAATGTTTTTCACAGTACGTTCAGTTTGAGCTTTTCTAAATATTGACACACACTACCCTTTTAATTCTTGTATATGTACAGGTTTTGCATTACTTATGTTAATTCAATATATTGACTGGAATATTCTTTGGTATTATATATTATATATAAATAATCTGGTACACTGTGTATCATGTCACACTGTTGTTTCTATTTTAGGTTTAAAACTTCCACCTTCCATCATATGTAGATAGCTAAAATAATAAAAAGAAAAGAACTTAAAATTTACCTAAAGGTTCAGGTTTGCCATTTTATTTGCCAAATATTCCTTTGTCACATAGGTAAGCTAATCAATAAGTGTTCACAGCTCACAGTTGAATTTCTGCCTTCAAATCTGTATGTGAAAGTTAAAAGACCACTGTCTTTTCTTGAGACTGCCATATGTTGAAAAGACATATACATGTATACTAATAGAAATTCCTAATTCTTATACTTCTGAAGGCTATTTACACATATTCAAAACCCAAATCACCGAAAATGGCAAATCTATCCCTTTAAAATATTTTAATATAAATCAAAAGTTGAATGTGCTGTAAGTTTATTAATTTGTCTTCTTACAAACACCTGCATTAGGTACTCTTACAAATGAGCTCTTAATGCTTTTTTCCTCTCATACACAATTGACTTTTGAACAAGTGACTTTTGAGTGGCATTTAATGATTTATCATTTATATCATTGCTTGATAATGATTGAAACCATTGAAATCTGAAATAAAGTTCAAATCGATTTAAAAGAAAGACAAAATTATGGCATACCTATCTATTATTTGATCTAACCATAATCTATGTTCTAAAGCTGTAATCCAAGATTGTGGATTCTCTTTCACCCCTAATTTACACCCTAACATAGCACCTGCTACACATGCATTGGCATCAGCATCACCACCCTAAAACAATTAAATCTTAATATTACTCTACTCACATATAATTTTAAAAAAATTTATATATCATTATATATCTAGAATCTGTCCACAAATAATTTCATTCTTGATGATGATAGCACAATATATTTCAGATTTTCAGTCCTGGATTAGCCCATGTACGTCAGAGTATGATGTTTGTTTCTTCAGCACCTCACCTAAACAGTATACATAACATAGCTTAAATTCTTAAACCTTATTTACCTCCATTACAATATCAGTTATTGCTTGACGAAAGTTCCTCTGTTTCAAGGCCCAAAATCCAGCTCCCATAGCTTTATATGTGTGATTGGCTAAGCCTGCTTCTGTAAGCTTTAATTCTTTCAAGGATGTAGCTTTCATATATTGTCGTAATTCTTTAATCTGTAAATGAAGACAAATTTAGTGAATACAATGAGTGATTTCATGTTATAATTTAATATAGCTTGCCAGGCAAGGCAGCTTTGATTTTAAATAAAAACATTTGTCAGTACAGTAACAATTATCAGTATGAAATATTCAACTTCCAGACATAAACTTCTTTTGAACTTTTTAAGGCGATACTGAATAATATGACCAAGTTTCATCAAATTCCATCAAGAACTGTGCCTTCTGGAGTGTTTATGTGCTAAAAATTGAACGTGTTTTCAAGAACAAGGGCAATAACTCATACTAAATATTTTTCGATTTTTCTGATTTTCAATAAAGTTTATCCTTTGGTGATAACAATCACTCATGCTAAGTTTCGTCAAAATCTGTCAAGAACTGTGCCTCCTGGAGTGTTCACGAGCTAAAAATTAAACGCGTTTTCAAGATCAAGGGCAATAACTCATACTAAATATTTTTCGATTTTTCTGATTTTCAATAGAGTTTATCCTTGGGTGATAACAAACACTTATGCCAAGTTTCGTCAAAATCTGTCAAGAACTGTGCCTTCTGGAGTGTTTATGTGCTAAAAATTGAACGTGTTTTCAAGAACAAAGGCAATAACTCATACTAAATTTTTTTCGATTTTTCTGATTTTCAATAAAGTTTATCCTTTGGTGATAACAATCACTCATGCTAAGTTTCGTCAAAATCTGTCAAGAACTGTGCCTCCTGGAGTGTTCACGAGCTAAAAATTAAACGCGTTTTCAAGATCAAGGGCAATAACTCATACTAAATATTTTTCGATTTTTCTGATTTTCAATAGAGTTTATCCTTGGGTGATTACAAACACTTATGCCAAGTTTCGTCAAAATCCGTCACGAAATTGTGCCTTCTATAGTGTTTACGAGCTAAAAATTGAAAACGTTTCCAAGAACAAAGGCAATAACTCATACTAAACATTTTTTCAATTCTTCTGATTTTCAATAGGGTTCATCCTTGGGTGATTATGAACACTCACACCAAATATCGTCAAAATCCATCAAGAATTGTGTCTTGTAGAGAGTTTACGAGCAATTGTGGACGGACCGACCGATGGACATGAGTGACGGCAATATACGCCCCCCTCCATTTCATGTGGGCATATAAAAAGTAATTTATCTTGTGAAAACATTGATTGTAAACAGTCTTAGTTAAGATACAAGTATAATGGAAGTATAATAATATTATCATGTTCTTGTAATGTATGATAAGCAATCTATAATAATGATGACGGATACAATATCTAAACAAACCTCTTGATATGAACAATTAGTCATACACCTGGAGGCATATTGATAAGAATTTTCTATAATACTGTCAATATCTAATTCTCCTTTCTTAGTTTGATATTTCTCATCATTCTGTAATAATACTGCAATTGTTGTTGTCACGGCAACACATGATGCTATACATCTATCAAAATAAAATTATCCTTAATTTAACCCTGGTGAGTATAGTATAAAGTACATAGTAGGAGCTTACTAAGCTCAGTAATAGTAGCTTAGTAATATCATTACGTCAAGCACTAAATTCAATATTGAAAGATAGCTTGCGTTGCAAGGTAACATACGCCCACTGGCAGCTGTCAGAAATAATAAAACAGTCTTTAGTGACTAAAGTATGAATTTTCTCACATTGAAGAAATTATTCATGCTGAATAATTCCACAAATTTTTTTTAAAATTAATATCAATAACCCAAATACAACAAACAATTAAATTACACAGCTCTTATCAAGGGCAAAAAACAACTTTTGACGGGTGTTTACAAAGTCAAGGGCAATAACTCAAAAAATGTTCATCAAAAATATCTCTTGTTAGTTGTCCGAGATCTTATCAATTCCAATGATCACACCAAGTTTCATCAGAATCGGTTGAAAACTGTAGCTTCTATTGTGCTCACAAACAAATTTTCACGCTTTTTGCGTAAGTTAATGGCATTAACTCAAAAAAATTTCATCGAAAATGCGTCAAGTTAGAACTTGTCCGAGATCTTATCAATTTCAATGATCACACCAAGTTTCATCAGAATCGGTTGAAAACTGTAGCTTCTATTGTGCTCACAAACAAATTTTGACGCTTTTTACAAAGTCAAGGGCAATAACTCGAAAACTGTTCATCAAAATTGCATCAAGTTAGAACTTGTCCGAGATCTTATCAATTCCAATGATCAGAACAAGTTTCATCAGAATCGGTTGAAAACTGTAGCATCAATCCTGCTCACAAACTATTTTTAGCAAATTTCGACACATTTTAACAAAGTCAAGGGCAATAACTCAAAAACCGTTCATCAAAAATGTGTCAAGTTAGAATTTGTCCGAGATCTGATCAATTCCAATGATCACACCAAGTTTCATCAGAATCGGTTGAAAACTGTAGCTTCAATCCTGCTCACGAACTATTTTTAACAAATTTCGACGCGTTTTAACAAAGTCAAGGGCAATAACTCAAAAACCGTTCATCGAAAATGCGTCAAGTTAGAACCTGTCCGAGATCTTATCAATTCTAATGATCACACCAAGTTTCATCAGAATCGGTTGAAAACTGTAGCTTCAATCCTGCTCACGAACTATTTTTAACAAATTTCAAGGATTTCTAAGTCAAGGGCAATATCTCAAAAACCGTTCATCAAAAATATGTCAAATTCGAACTTGACCGAGATCTTATCAATCTAAAGCATCACACCAAGTTTTATCAAAATCAGATAAAAACTGTAGTCTCTATAGTGCTCACAAGAAATGTTGACGGACACAGGGGCGACGACAATATACGACCACATATTCATGTGGGCGTATAAAAAATGAAACACATAAATGTGGTGTGTCCATTCAGACATGTCAGCTAAATGATTCAAATGCTCTGAGTAAATTGAAATGAAATGATGCACCCAACTGGCTGATGAAGATGCGCAAAGTCCTGCAGTATGCAACTTTTTCCAGGACAGCGGCATTGACCAAAATGTCGAGAGATTTTCAACGTACACAACCCTGTAGCACTAAGGACTAGGTTTATTGTCCCATTGATGACTAGATGCTTTTTCCATGTCAGTCCCTTTAACCTGCATCAATGACAAAGGGAAAAGAGGGTTGAAAAATCTGGAGATATTATCTTGACCTATCCTCGGATCGAACCCTGGACTTTCAGGTTAGTGAGCAAGCGTTTAACTCATTATACCACCGCGGTTCCCTCTGAGTTAAGTGAGCCAAGATATTTCACTTACTTGGGATGGGCATGTGTTATAGAGCATGTTTCCATGGTATATTTGATAACTTTTCCCAAGGCATTATAATGATGTATTCCCATTACACAACATCTAGTTAGAGCACTATTAGTAACACATGTATGTTCAGATTTCCTCCATATAATTTCTGCTGCCTGAAAATAATAATTACTTTATTTCCACCAAAAGCTTCACAATATTTAATTTGAAAAAAATCTGTAGGCATAAATAATCAGTGTGATTGAACCTTGGGACATTTAGGCTCACTGAGTCACTGCTGTTCCAGTGTGATTGAACCTTGGGACATTTAGGCTCACTGAGTCACTGCTGTTCCAGTGTGATTGAACCTTGGGACATTTAGGCTCACTGAGTCACTGCTGTTCCAGTGTGATTGAACCTTGGGACATTTAGTCTCACTGAGTCACTGCTGTTCCAGTGCGATTGAACCTTGGAACATTTAGTCTCACTGAGTCACTGCTGCTCCAGTGTAGATGTAATAAAATTTAATAATGTTTAAATGTTTGAGACTGAAAATCATAATTTAAACAATTAAGCTTAGGTTTAATATACAAACAATAGTTGCGCGTAAAATATTCTTGTAAGTAAATATAACATTAATTTTCAAGATGTTAAAATTATGACAACTATAATCAGGGTCTGGCACATGAAAAGTGGAAGTAGATCTAAAATATTGTCAATATCGATACACACAGATCGTTATCAATATATTATTTCTGAGTCTCCCATATTGCAATTTATCGATTATTTCCGACAGCCCTATCCATGTGTGTAGTGACAGAATAATTGAAAAAAGACAAAATGATTGTATTATTGCAATTTAGTGTGGGAAAATTTGTCTGCATTCCCTTCATAATAGCTAATTATAATAGCTAATCATAAGAACATAATTATAGTGTAAGCTTATTTATGAATAATTGAAAATAAGGAAACTGATGAAACCAACTCACACCTTTAAAGGTTCTTCTGAGAACTGTGGATGATTAATAACATTTTTATTCACATGACACAAACCATAACCAATATCATCTCCTAACTCTAGGAACCCATGTTCAGACCAGTCCATTAATCTTTTAGCTATATCATCTGGAACAATCTAAATAAAATGTCAAAATATGGAAAAAAATCAAATTAGCGTGCAGTTGGTAATAGGAATTTGTTTATCATTATAAACTTATTCAGTCTTTACGAGGCCCAACACAAAAACTAGTTTAATCTGCTTATTTAACAATTAGTTCACTCCTTTTTTATATGCCCACATCTCTCTATGTGGACGTATATTGTCGGCACCGCTGTCCGTCCGTCCATCAACATTTGCTTATAAACGCTCTTAAAACTAGATTTATCGATGGAATCAAATGAAAATTTGGTATGTGTATACATATTAATAAAACGAAGATCAAGTTATTTGAGCTCGAATTTGAGCTATTTTCGACTGTTAGAAGCAGAGTTATTGACCTTGCCCCAAAATCTTGATTATGCTATTACTCTCTTAGTTTTCAACCGATTTTGATGAAACTTAAAATGGATGTTATTGGACCTAAATCGAAAGGTTTGAGAAAGTTTAGTTTACTTCTGATTAAATTCAAGGCTTTTTCAAGATTTAAGCCTCTTACGTCAGTTTTGAGGAGTTATCGCCCTTTCCACTCAATACAGTAAGTGCTTCTATCAACATCAATTGCTCGTAAACGCTCTAAAAACTAGATTTTTTGATGGAATAAAATGAAATTCGGTATGTGTATTCATATTCATAAAACGAAGATCAAGTTCGAATTTGAGCTATTTTCGACAGTTAGAAGCAGAGTTATTGCCCTTGCCCCAAAATCTTGAATATGCTATTACTCTCTTAGTTTTCAACCGATTTTGAAGAAACTTAAAATGGATGTTTTCGTTTTTACCGTGAAGGGCGTATTTGGCTGTGGTCCACTATCTTTTAATTAACCCTTTTATTTTGTTTTAGTAGATACATAGATGTAAAATGCATATTTTAGAAATATATTCAGGTATAATTTACAACATATTTTATCATGAAAATTTTGCATACTGCCTTATAAGTGTAACCACGTTAAAAGGCTTACATCTCCACAATTTTGAACCAATGATTGAATAAGTATTATCATGTGATCACTTTCTTCGGTCCAATCATTCACTTTCCATTTCCTTCTATGAGCATCATCAATCAATTTCTTGTGAACCAGTTCCAGTTTCGAAGCTACAGAACCATATGTCTGAAAAGGAGCAAAAAGCTCTGAACTGATGTGTAAAAGTAGGACACAGCAATGAAATATCATAGATAAGCTTACATTTACATTGGCGTCATGTTTTCCAAATGGGAATGGTAGGTCCTGTTGGCTAAAAGCTGTACAACAAAAAAACATATGTGACCTAGCACTTAGTGTCACATAGCAAGAGTGATTAAAAGTAAACTGAATACTTTTTTAGCCTGTTCTTTAGACATATTTTCTGTTAATAATCCAACAGCATCACCAACACAATGTCCATAAATAAGACCAAAAATTTTATCATAAACTTGACATGCTTCTTTCCTTGCCACCTATAATATAAATACATACAAGGGAAATCAGACACCTTATCCGCTGATCAATATCAGCATGGCATATTGTTATCAATAATATTATTACATGTATTGTAGTGAAACCAGTCACCCAGTATCAATGCAGTAGCCTACTAGACCACTTAACTAAAAGTAAAACAGATCAATACATATTAAAGTACCTGATACGGATGTCTTCTCCTTAATTTCTTGGCTATAGGAGAATCATACTTCGCGCGTAACACTTCCCGACCTCTAAAAGTAGCCATTTTTCGAGCATCTATTCATTTATATACAAGCCGTTGCAAGTTAATAGGAGAGCCTTACGTTAACTGACTTAATGTCAATTTCACATCTGTACCGACCTGCCTTTAATTCACACCCTCGGCTACACATAATTTTCCAATTAAATTGTTGAAAACGAAAATTCATTCACAAAACGATGGTTAAATAAAAACCACCAATATAAATTTAGTAATTACGGCTCGTAATCGGATTTTATACGAAATGTGGACGTATATTGCCGTCGCCCCTGTCCGTCGGTCCGTTGGTCCGATCATTCATATTTTTAAAAATTTGGTGGTATTTCTCAGCATAAATAACTGGCAGTAAATATATATATATCAATGAATTCAAACTATTAAAATTTCTTTAATATAAGAAAATTCATACGTTAGTCAGTATAGACAGTTTTATCATTTCTGACAGCTGTCAGTGGGCGTATTTTACTTTGCCTGGCAAGCTATCTTTGGCAAATGTTTTCAATATATTAGAATATGCCTTCTGAGCATTGTAATAAAACGATAGTTGCATTTACAAGGTGTGCCTAGGGAACATAGTACTAGGCCTAGTACTAGTAGTACGTAACTTGTAGGCTACAACGTACAGACAAGTAACCTAATTTCGTGGAAACCTATTATTCGTGGATTTCCGGAAATGTTTAATAATGTACATGAGCGACCTCCGCATTAGTTTGTTGTGATAAACATGGGTTTTCTGTACAATATCAGCTAGTAGAATGAATCCAGTAGTTTCAAGCAAGGTAAAATGTATTAATTTGACAAATACAAAATGGTGGATTTCAGTTATTACCAAACGTCACCATTTTTTATCGGCCGAATTTCCTTATAATCCCAAGCTGTAATCGGAATTCAGTCGTGTCGTCTACTAGTATGTAGTCCAACGAATGAAGTCAAAGATCATATAGCGGATTCCGTGTCAGCAGAAAATTTCTATGGAACACAAAGTGGACCATATTCTTATGTTGTTTCAGTGACTTTTAGCAATAAATCACGCTACGTATCTTATTTTGTCAGTCACTATTTTTTTTTAAATCGTGGTTCTTTGAAGGAATTGTCACTAGTTATAATGAATTGATATTAAAGATAAATACTAAGAGAAGTTAATTATACCACCCGGTATCCATACAGCGTGTTTTCCTAGACTTATTTATAGATCAAACATTGTACACGAAAATAGGTGAGTTGGTTGCTCATGAAATATGGGTCAAAGTGAAGGATTCATAAAGAAAATCGAAATAAACCAATTTTGATTATTTTGTAGAATATCTGAGGAAACATCTAAGACATAAAAAAAAAATTCGTTTTTTTAACTTTGACGAAATTCGGTGTTGAATCCTTATATCCACGAAAATAGGTTACACCACTGTATAGTCCGAAACATCTGCCACTATTTCAACCCCTGATAGCTATTTTGAAAGTTGTCGGCTAGAGTAGAATCAGAAAAAGTAAGTCAGGGAACATAATGTTATAATATTACTGAACAACGTATAGTCCGAAACAGACAACTTACTGTCAACATAGCTATCAGGGATTTAGGGGCAAATGCTTCAGTCTACACAACGTAGAACTATAATAGCACACTATTACTTAGCTACATAATAACTTAGGCTATTACTGATACCAACCTTCACAACTCAACCTTCTGATTTCATCAGAGCCCTATAAAAAAGTCTTTCTATCGAAGGTTCCTATTATATATTAGCTGTGGGCCTACTCACTATATAATCAAATCGCTGTATTCCATGATACATGAAAAGTGCATATTGCTCTCAAGGTATTATATATAGACACAGATTAATAGCTTGACATTGTCAAGATGACTGGTAGCCTACACCCCCTTCCGACTTACATCCCGTCTAGTCTTCTGGGGCAGCCGCGAGGTATTAAAGGGACAGCTAGTTTGCAAAATTTTCATCATCAAAAACGTTGTAAATTATACCGTAAAATATTTCTAAATAATGCTATTTACAATTGTAATATATTATGAACAAAATAACCTCAGCTAATATTGAATCCTAGTTCATATGTCGATCTTCTGATGTGCCGAAATCAATACGTTCGTTTGGCACATGAAAAGTTCGTCGCTTGAATCCATTTGGCTCGACAGTTTACTGTGATTAATAATTTTGGGTATCCTGGATCGAGTAGAACGTCGTAAGCGCGACGTGGTTTCATACGTCGAACTTTTTGTCTGTCAAATTTTAATAATAAATTAAGCTAATGATATTACAATGATATGATAATAAGGGATTTCCCCAATAATGTCTCACAGCGCCTGCGTTTTAAGCCATTTGACCTTAAAAGTTCAACCAGCACGATGGTTGAAAAAATAGTCACAAATTGATTTACATTGGTAAGTTTTTTCAGGATGAAAATCGTTGCATTTTTACATATGGTTTAATACAATGACCTTTATAGTGTGTGAAGGACATTTACTGACATGAAACCTAATGTGTAAATTTGTCGTTTAGCCTATTCCAGCGATGTTTTTTATCGTCACCTCTCTATATAACAATCCAAATCACTATCGCCAACTTGATACACCTATTTTTATGGAAACTGCGCGAGAAATAAACAATATTCTACAAAATTTGGTAAAAAAGAAATTTATTTCAGAAAAGCAATATGACTACCTTTCCACGTCCACTGAGCCTCGCCAACGACACATTTACACGCTTCCGAAAATTCATAAAAATCCCGAAACTGAGTGGTCCGTTGCCAACAAAATTCCTAAAGGTAGACCAATCATTTCTGATTGTTCTAGCGAATCATATCGAGTTTCAGAATACATAGATTACTTTTTACTGCCACTAGCATGCCAACACCCTTTTTATCTGAAAGACACAACCGATTTTGTTGAAAAAATCAAGAAATTGGACATTCCCGAAAACGCGTATTTCATTTCTTTGGACGTAACCAGTATGTATACCAACATTGACAACAATGTTGGTCTTGACGCCGTCCGTAAGGCATTTGTTCGATATCCATGTTCTGATCGACCTGATACAGAGATTTTAGATTTACTTAAACTATGTTTAACGCGCAATGAGCAAACGATTTGCCCCTAGTTATGCGAATATATTTATGGCCGTTTAAACCTTTATTTTATGGCCGGTTTCTTGACGATATTTTTATCATTTGGTCCGATACTCTAGAACATTTCTGGAAATATTTCGAAATTTTAAACAACCACCACCCTTCTGTGAAATTGACAGCAAATATCAGCGAAAACAGCATGGATTTTGTGGACACCACGGTGTTCAAAGGCAACAACTTTCTTTCTTCTAAAAAATTAGACATTAAAGTATTTTTTAAGGAAACTGATACCCACCAACTTTTATACAAAAGCTCGTTCCACCCGAAGCACACATTTTCTGGAATAATTAAATCTCAAATTCTAAGATTTCATAGAATTTGCACCCAGCAGGCTGATTTTGAATCCGCCTGTAAACTAGTTTTTGACAAATTAAGGGAGAGGGGTTATTCCAAAAGGTTTCTTCGAAAAATTAAGAATGACACGCTTTCAGACATTTTGAGAAAAGAAGACCCCCCTCCACCTTTTATTGGATTCGGTTCATTTCCCTGTGGAGGTCCTACTTGTCGCACATGCAAACACATACATGTTACCCATTTTTTCAAAAATAACAAGAACGGAAAATTGTTTGCGATGAATAACCTAATTTCTTGCGGAGATCAAAATATCATATACCCCATTTCTTGTAAAAAAATGCGATGTACAATATGTTGGCGAGACTCAAAATGCGCTTCGAACGCGATTCAATGGCCATCGCTATGATATATATAGTGCATGGCAAGGATAGACCAATTGCGAATCACTTCAACCTTCCCGATCATTCCATTGATGACCTTCTCATCATGCCTATAGAAACAGTTTCTACATCACCTTGAATGAAACCTAAGCTAAGAAGTCTACAACGCGAAAGTTATTGGATCGATCAACTGCAGACTGTGAGGCCAAATGGACTCAACATTCAACATGATAACCAGATAATACCCTTTATAACGACATTTGATTCTACAGCTACCAAAGCCTCCATAATAGTCAAACGCCATTACTCGGAACTTCAGAACAAATTTCCCCATGTATACACAAAACGTTTGGTTGTAGCTTACAAAAGAAATCAAAATCTTAGCAATTTCCTCTTTCACGGTAGACTTGAACCATTGAACAATGTCCATTCATCCTACGAGCATAGATTTGTTAATATAAATGTATCATGTTCTATCAATAAATTAATCTATTTCTGAGTTAGATTTCAGGGAATACTTATTTCAGGACTGGTGACATGGCTATATAAAGTATATTATATAACATGCAGTGTATTTTTGTGTTTGTGTCTTTTCAACTAAAATCATACTAATGACTAACTAATTTTTACATAATCAATAGACTTATCTATTGCTCTGTGACCTAGGCCAGTGCTTTCATTGAGACTCGTCTCAATACACCCTAACACTAATATAGGTCTAAGACCAGGCAAGGCAGTGGCAATGAATTGAGTGTCAGTGGACATAATGAATTCAATATTTAGTTATTCCCTCCTCTCCTACGCATATACCGGTACCAGAACCAAAACCTGTGTGCACCAATCAGTAAACATGTTATATTAAAGCCAATTATTCCAGATAATCGAATTTTATGAATTTACGAAAATACCCCTCCCCTTCCTCTTGGTTTGTTGCATATTTTGTATTTTAGTATCCTGTAATATTTCATTATTATAGTGATGAAGATTTGAGCCAAGAAGAATTGTTTGACTTTGATGACGATGTTGTTGACGAATCAGGCGCCGTTAGTGATGAGGTTAACTATGAGTCTGAACAAGTTGTCCGAAAAAATTCTTCTAAGAAAGGAGAAAGGGGCAGTGGAGAGAAGAAATGATCAACGATCTTATAGATGTCATTGTTAGCAATGAAGTTTTAAAGAGAAGTCTTATTTTTATAAATAACAAGAACAAAAAGAACAGCGATATCTATTCTAAAGTAATCAAAGAATTAAAATTTAGAAATTTAAGCTTTAATTTTTCTATCCCACAAGTGCCAACAAATTCAAGAAATGTATATCTATGTGTAAATCAGCCGCAATGACCATCAAGACTGCCGTGGAATTTCAAGATTTCAAGATGAGAAATGCTATGGGAATTGGTTTAAAGTATTATATTCTGTTGTTAAGACCAAAGATTCGTGTAGACCAGATTTAGCAGTTGAGCCAGGTTCTCAACCAATGGAACAATCTGAGGACAAGGAAACTGATCAAGCAACTTCTGATGATTCCATAATAGATGAGACAAGTCAACCTATTATTCTTGATGACAAAGGTCCCGAGAGTCAACAGTTTGTTCCAACCCGAGGAAAAATACGCAAGGCTAGTAGATCTGAGTCGAATCAGGAAATTATAAGCATGATGCAAAAGATAATTGATAAGGATCCCAGCACAGATTTGATAAATTTCATGAAAAAAGATTTAGAGAAGTCTAGAGAGCATGAACTAAAGCTTTTCGCAATGCTATGTAATACTTCCGGAGCAATGCAACCGCATTCATCAGCACCCATACCTAACCATCCAACTGAGATGTTCCCTGGTAGATCTCGTGGTAACATACAGCATCGCCAATCTCACCCTTCCTTTGAACCAGGTCCCTCGACTTCTGGTTCATACATTGCTAGGGATCAGTCTAATATTTTCCAACGCATGAGGTACAATATGTTTGAAGAAGATGAAGATGGTGAGGAAAAAACATACCAAACACTTTGAAACGTTTTATTTTTATTATTATTACAAAAAAGCATTATGATTTTCTTTCCGTTATTTTAAAAATTACATTGAACAAGATGTGTTCTACAAACTCTGTACTTTTTGTTAAACTGTTCAAAAAATCAAACTGTTTACATATTTTGTTTCTCATTCCACAGTTTATCTTCTAGTGCACTACGGATACGATTTGTGGAAGGCTTATCATTTTGGATATTTCTGCAATGTGTCATATTTAAAAAAGCTCTTATTTCACTACTTGGTCTTCGTTGATGAGTTTCAGGATCCAGTGTCAAGTCAAGTTTTGCACACACAGTTTCACAGCGTTCAATGCATATATTGTGAAGTATCATGCAGGCCAAAGTAACATATTTCACTTGTTGAGGACGACATTCACTCTTACGCAATAACACTCGCCACCTGCCCTTGAGTTGACCATATGCACCTTTAGTGACCATCCTAGCCCTAATAAGCCGATAATTGAAATAGTGTTGGCTTTTCGTTAGGACAGCATTGGTATACGGCTTCATGAGCCATTCTTCTGATGGGGATGCCGAATCTCCAACATTGGTTTAATCTTTACACCGGATACATCAGCACTGATATCAGGGATATAATTTTTCTCTGTAATATCTGTCCATAAGGATGTAGACTGGAAAATTATAGCATCGTGGGAATTACCAGGAAAGCCACATAACTCCAAATAAATCTGTAATGAGAGTCCACCATTGTCATCAAAATAATAGAATAGATCTACAAGATAAACAAAAAAAAAATATAATAGAAATTTTTGAAATTGTGATAATCTTTCCGTGCTTCTGCTCCACCTGCAGGACATTTAATAGGGATGTGGCAGCCGTCAATAGCTGCCCATGTGTAGGGAAATTGCCACATGCTTTCCATTTCAACCATCTTATTCCTGAAATCATCTTCAGATTTAGGCATATATTTCAATATAAATTCTTCCCACATGCACTCGACAATTATTTGTGTCACTTCTTTGATTATTCCACAAATCGTAGATACTCCAAGAACAGTTTCTACATCACCTAGCATGAAACCTAAGCTTAGACGTCTACAATGCGAAAGTTATTGGATCGATCAACTGCAGACTGTGAGGCCAAATGGACTCAACATGATAACCAGATAATACCCTTTATAACGACATTTGATTCTACAGCTACCAAAGCCTCCATAATAGTCAAACGCCATTACTCGGAACTTCAGAACAAATTTCCCCATGTATACACAAAACGTTTGGTTGTAGCTTACAAAAGAAATCTTGAACCATTGAACAATGTCCATTCATCCCAGGAGCATAGATTTATTAATATAAATGTATCATGTTCTATCAATAAATTAATCTATTTCTGAGTTAGATTTCAGGGAATACTTATTTCAGGACTGGTGCCATGGCTATATACAGTATATTATGTAACATGCAGTATTTTTGTGTTTGTGTCTTTTCAACTAAAATCATACTAATGACTAACTAATTTTCACATAATCAATAGACTTATCTATTGCTCTGTGACCTAGGCCAGTGCTTTCATTGAGACTCGTCTCAATACACCCTAACACCGGTCATTTCAGACATTGTATAAAAGTAATCCCCTCGTGCAAGTTGATACAAACAAACAGCCAATCTTTTTTCTGCAGAAATCGGCTCCTCGATCTTTCTACCGTCTATTTATACTATTATCACCAGTCGTATAAAAATACTGTTTAACAGAAGTATGAGGTTAGTAATGATACAGATATTGATAGTGTTTGATTGAAGTATGTAGTCAAGGTTAGTAATGATACAGATATCGATAGAGTCTGACTGTAGTATGTAGTCAAGGTCAGTAATGATACAAATATTGATAGTGATTGACTGTAGTATGTAGTGGAGGTCAGATTACATGCTACAGTCAGACACTACCAATATCATTACTGTATCATTACTGACCTTGACAACATACTACAGTCATACACTATCAATAATATATGTATCATTACTAAACTATACTACAGTCAGACACTATCAATATCTGTATCATTACTGACCTCTACTACTTAATACAGTCAAACACTATCAATATATGTATCATTACTGACCTCGACTACATACTATAATCAAACACTATCAATATCTGTACCGCTACTTCCCTCTACTACAAACTACAGTCAAACAATGTCAATATCTGTATCATTACTGACCTTGTCTACATACTACAGTCAGACACTATCAATATCTGTATCATTACTAACCTTGACTACATACTACAGTCAGACACTATCAATATCTGTTCCATTACTAAACTATACTACAGTCAAACACTATCAATATCTGTATCATTACTGACCTCTACTACATACTACAGTCAAACACTATCAATATCTGTTCCATTACTAGACTATACTATAGTCAAACACTATCAATATCTATATCATTACCGACCTCGACTACAAACTACAGTCAAACACTATCAATATCTGTACCGCTACTTCCCTCTACTACAAACTACAGTCAAACAATGCCAATATCTGTATCATAACTGACCTCTACTACTTACTACAGTCAAACACTATCAATGAAATGAAATGAATGGAGTTTTACGTCCTACTTTTCTGCACCATGTGGGCTAATGAAGACGGGCAACGCCATGTAGGGTGCGATGAGGGAAATTTTGCCAGGACAGCGGCATTAGCCTGCTCTTTTTCGATTTCCAACTGTCGAAGGTACTTTAACGTGCATAGCCTGTGGCACACGGGCCTCGGTGTATTGTCCCATCCGATCGACTAGACGCCTTTTCCATGTCAGCCCCTCTTACCTGCATCACTGACAGGGGAAACACTATCAATATCTGTATCATTAGTAAACTATACTACAGTCAAACACTATCAATATATGTATCATTACTGACCTCTACTACTTACTACAGTCAAACATTATCAATATCTGTACCGCTATCTCCCTCTACTACAAACTACAGTCTAACACTGTCAATATCTGTATCATTACTGCAGACATCTTCTGTATACTAGTTTCAAACACGGATAATTCACATGTGATTTTGAAGGCCCAAATTTTTACGGTGACCTGTGAACACTATTATCGATTGGCTTAGCTAAAACAATCCCGTTTCTGAGACTTAAGTATGATTGGTCAAAAAATTGGCGTAACTGTCCCTTTTAAAAAATTATTTGTCCTGGTCGCAAAAAAATTGTTCTATGCTGCATGAATCGAGTTGAAAAGTGAGCCATGTTTCCACTTTCTTGAGAACTTTAAGAAGTTTTTACAATTTTCACATAATTTATTTGTTTGTTGCGAAGTTCATTTTAATTTTGGACACTAAGAAAAATAAAAACAACATTGTGTTGGTGAAGGCAAGTTTCTGGACGACAAATTGGAAGCGATTTGAATGAAAGACTAACAAATCAGTTTTTTAGTCACATGATAGCGGACGGGTCCTTTTTAAAGTGACCAAGTTTGACAATTTGTGGATCATGGATTATTGTGTCACAAAATATTGTGGAGCGAACGGACCCAGGGCGAACGAACTAGGGGCAAACATGAAAAAGACCGAATATGTATAGGGGCGAACGCGTTTAACAGTACTTAGCTAAATATAAAATTTTAACTTCATGACCTAGGCCTGCGCTTTTATAGGATTTTTATTCTCATATCACCCTAATATCCATAGGAAACAACATTACCCTATTGTTTTCGGGGGCACTGTCCTCTAAATACGCCACTGTAGTAACTTGTAAAAACGTAGTAATATTAGGAGACACATTGCATAAAATGCAGGAATTTATTTTCAAAACTCATTCTCACACAAAATACCCTTACGATCGTTTGGGGAAGTTTAATCCTCAAATGATTTTGAATGGATATACTTGTAGTAAGCTTTCCAATTCATTAACAAGGTTAAAAGTAAATTTTGACTTATTTGTAATTAAAATCTATTGCCGAAAGAACAAATGAATGTACACCAAATTTCATACAACGCGGAATTTTTAGTTAGGTTTGAATTGAGAAGTATTCAGCCTTGAACCATGAACTCTTCACAATCGGCCTTGACATTTTTTTGTAAACAAACACGACATTTATTTTTCAAAAAGGGAATTTTTGATGAAAATGATGAGTATTTGATTGAAAAATCGTTATTTTAAATATTTAGGTAGTTTTAAGCAATTTTTCCGAAAAGAATAACAAATCATGGCTAATTTCATTTTCTACGCCGTGGTAAATAGCTTAAAGGTACTTATGGCTATTTACCACGCTTACCACGCCAGTGGTAAATAGCCACTACCTTTTGTTAATGGATTCTTCAAATATTTCTTTGGCGGATATTTTGGCTGAAGTTAGAAGCCAGAGGGTTGATTCTGACCAGAAGCTTCAGCTTTTGAGAGATGAGATCCAAGGATCTAGTAGTAAGTTTGGAAAGCAGTTGGATAAAGTGAAGGCAGATCAAGATGTTACGTGGAAGTTTAAAGGTAACAAGATTCAGTATCAATTTAATGTTACAATTTGTGATATCATCAAATGCATTCGGGGAGTAGCGGATAATGGTAACCTTGATTCAGTTAGAGAGTAGACTGAAACCTTGAACGATAAACTGAATGGTCAAATTGATTCGTGTGGCCGATACGTCAGAGGGAGGCTGTCAGTATGCTTATCCTATTGCTAGTGATTCAGATGATGAGAAACGCATTACTAGAACTGAAACCAGAGCTTTGAAGAAACGCAAGAAAGTAAAATCTAAATCTCTTACTTCGAAAAGGCGGAAATTTTATTCTGCTTCTAGTTCTCTATTTCAAGGTCCATCTATTCATCGTATGAGAATACAAGTATCCCGACAACCTATACGAATCAGTCCCTTCGTGCCCGTATAACAAGAGGCAGTTGTTATTCATGTGGAAGATTTGGTCACTTCAAGAGAGAATGTCCATCCCTCAACTCACAAGGAAATGGTACAACCAGTAAAACAACTGGGTTGTAAGAAGATTGCTGAAGGAATACAAGATAAGTATTTTAATTCTGAAAATGTGATTGTTTCTGATATAGTTTTACTAACGATTATTATGAGTAGATGAACAAGGTCAGCCCAAAATCTTAGTGAAAGTTAGACTTCGAAATAATATTAAATTTTGGGAAAGTTTTGAAGCCAATCCTGTTGTTTTAGATATAATTAGAAATGGGTACAGAATACCATTTACAGATTTACCATGTTCAGAGTTTTTAATAAATAATCGATCTGCCATTGATAATTCTGAATTTGTAGGAAGTGCCATACAGGATTTAGAGAAGAGAGGTCTTATCAGTATAGGTGTTCATTGCAGCCTACAGTAAGTTGTTAATCAGCTGTCTGTGTCGATTCAGTAACGGTAAAAGGCATTTGATATTAGATTTGAGAGTAGTTAATAAATGTGTTGAGAAACAGGGTATTAAGTATGAAGATATTCGTACTGCGTAGTTGTATGCTCATAAAACGTCCTGGTTATTCAAGTTTGATATTCATGCAGCTTATCATCATGTTGAAATTTCTGACGTGCGCACACAGTATTTGGGGTTCTCATGGGTATTTGGTGACGAAACTGTTTATTTTAAATTTTTGGTACTACCTTTTGGTCTTAGTACAGCCCCATATTTATTTACTAAGATATGTACATAGATGTTAATCAAGAAATGGCGTAGTGAAGGTAAATGTATTGCTATGTATATTGATGATGGATTTGGTGCACATGACGAAAAGGATATGGCAGTGAGTAGAGAGGTTAAGCATGATCTTATAATTAGAGGTTTTGTTCCAAAAAATGAGAAGTCTACTTGGGAACCTACCCAAGAATTCGTTTGGCTTGATGTAATAGAAAATACGGATGTTGAATTTTTGAAAATTCCCAAAACAAGGATAGATAAATTATTGAGATGTGTTAAGCAAGTCGGGTTGATTTATGATGAATGCAAAGTGGTTGAGGTTCGCAAGATTGCAAGTGTCGTGGGACAAATAATATCTATGTCAATAGTTATTGGAAATGTATCGCAATTTATGTCGAGGGCATTATCAATTGATCTAGCACTGGCTAATGGATGGAACTCAAGGATAAAATTGAGTATGCTAGTAAAAATCAAATAGAATTTCTGGTCACATAATATCACATGCATCAATGAGAAACCGTTAAAGTTTGATCCATGTTGTGATCGTATTGTAAATTCAGATGCCAGTGACGAAGGTTATGGCGGTTATTGTGTTGAGGAATATACACTGAGGTAGTGCATGGCTATTGATCAGCTGAGGAAGCTGGGAAAAGTTCTACTTGGCGTGAATTGGTGGAATTAGAGGCTGTCAGACGTATTTGGTTGTCATTAACGCACATAGTTAAGTGGTTTTCGGATAATCAAGCTGTTATATCGATATAAAGGTAGTATGAAGCTAGAATTGCATAATATAGCGGTTGAGATTTTCAGTATGTGTTTTACACACGGGGTCATTTTAGAGAAGGAATGGGTTCCTAGAACTATGAATGAAAGAGCTGACTGTTTAAGTAGGATTGTAGATTCTGATGATTGGTCCATTGGTAGTGAAATTTTCACCTAGTTAGATCAAATATGGGGACCTTATGAGGTAGATGTGCTTGCTTCAGAGCATAATCATAAATGTGATGTTTTCTATTCGAGGTATTGGAGTCCCATTTCGACTGGAATCGGTGCCTTCACAATATCTTAGTTTGGCAAGAATGCCACCAGAATGCCACCAGTATACCTTATTCCCAGAGTGTTAAAGCACATGATAATTTGTCAGGCTGCTGGCAAACTTATTATTCCATTATGGAAGTCTGCGAGTTTTTGGCCGTTGATATGTCCAAAAGGGAATTGTTTCATAGATATTTTTAAGGATTGGATTGATTTACCTACAGAAAGATATATTATAATGAATCTTTGAAATATAACAGCTTTGAGAGTAGATTGCTCAAGGTAAAGACGCTTACAGTAATAACGATTCAAGCATGATATGATAGAATTGACAGAGGTTGTCAGTAGGGTTTTAAATCTACAGAGTTCATAGTGATCGTTATGGTAGAGGTTATCATTGGTGGCAGAGTTTGCCAGAAATTGAAATTATTTTTTTAGGGATGGTAGAGTGCAGATTCAACTGTGTCTAATTATGTACATTTTTATATTACGAATGTTAAGGTCTGTATATAAGGAAGATATTGACGAAGTACCTGTTAGTTTACAGAGTGTTGCATCGTTAAGTAACTAATTCTAAAGCTACGTCAACTACTTCAAGTTATTACAGGGGATATCTTGCTTGGAAAGACTGGCTCACGAGCACAGGCATCTGTTTCTATCAATAGTCGACTATCTCTGTAATAGTATATATATGAGAAGGTGGCTAACGCTCGTCACGACCACCGGAAGTAGATACATTGAAACGATGGGTGTAAAATTTTTTAGTATTTTTATTGAACAATAAATAGATTAGTATGGAGAGGAACATTGAGGGAGATATAAAATAGGTCTTGTGTGTAGGGAAAATATTCAATGAAACTATTCATATAAGGTTGGGATAATGTTTCATTACGGTAAATGGTAGAAAATCGTCTGAAGCGGGGATGGTCGTGACGAGCGTTAGCCACCTTCTCATAACGGAATTATTGATATATATTGCTTAAATTCCTTTGGTGTTTTATTCCTTCATGTTAACTTAGCATGTGAGAGTCTTTTTAGACTTAAAATAAGATAGTATTAATTTGCTTGATATAGTCCGTCAGGCTGTTGCATAAATTTATCTATATTTTTGTTTCTTAAACTTGCCACCACATATGGTGTGAATTTGTTGATGCATTATTTTGTTATGATGTTGCTTTTTTCAAACTTGTTTATGTATACACTATATTTTTTTGTATAACTATTAATAGATGTCAGTATGTCATACTTGTATCACGTATTATTATGTATTATCTTGTATCATAATGTATGCTGCCCAAAAAGGGCGAACAATACAATAAATATCTATCTAGTATCTATCTATATATACTATTATAGAGAGAGTCGACTATTGATAGAAACAGATGCCTGTGCTCACGGGGAATGGAAGTTATGACGATCCATTTCTCGCGAAACCATTGTTATTTGCATTGTATCTGACTTCCCTTCTTCAGGAAAAGTGTAGTCCCGAGTCTGATTATACATGCCTTTTATAATGTGAAATGGGCCCATTTTTTAGTGAGTGCAGTTAGTCCTACGGATAATCTTACGCTTCAGAATGTATTAGAAGCCGGGAAGCGTCGTCTTGCTAGGCCAGAGGCTAAGAAGGAGTCCATTACACCTGAATTGTTAAATCTTATGTATGGTAAAATGTATGTGCTAACAGGGGAATGCCAGATAGGTTGTTTAAACGTCATTGGAGATGGAAACGCAAAGGATGGGTATGTGAAAGACGCTCTGCAGAGTAGATAGTCAGTTTCTTTGAATTAGGGTATCTAGTCTAACAATACTGTAAATATTGTTTCGATTATTATGATATTTATGTTTTGTTCTACAATAATTTGTCCATGTTTATTTTGTTGTAGGTGTATATATGGCTATCCGACTGCTTTCTTTGTAATTCATGGCGATTTCGACTCTGCATACCAAATAACTGTGTTAGTGTTATTTGGGGGTGGGCTGATAAAGTATTATCGAAGCAGTGATGGAAGGGAAAAGTTATTCGACCTACAGAAAAAATCAGAATGCCCTTTTAAATAATATGTGGCCTGTGGTTTTATCTTGGAACCATACATAGAGTTTACTCTATGGTATCAAATAGAATTTACTGATGAAAAATGTTCTCTCCATGTAAAAGGTCAAGGTTGGCAAAAGATTCCCCTACATACCGCACGCGCGAAATGAGGGTCTGCAAATGTCAGGACAATTAAACTAGCTATTCTTGTATAATAACTACATGAAGTATTAATTATCTTGCCCTTATCGTTAGTTTAAGTCAGTAATTAGAGTGTAGTTTAAACGAGAACCTGGTCTATAATGGAGGAAATCGACTTTGAGGGTAAGGATGAAATTCAGGTTATTTTAAATTTGTCTAAATATTGACTTCTTCTTACTCACTTGAAAGAGAGGTTTTGTTGACCTTCTTTCGAAATTACATCTAAGCGTAAACGTGGAGTTGTTTCGATGTCAATATTAATTTCCTTGCAAAACGACAAAATGTATGTCGATTTATGAAATACATTTGTAGAATTGTAACTTGAAGAAAATATATTTGTCAATTCTCTATATGCCTGTCGACAAGGATTCTTGTTGCCTCGCTTTTCAATGAAAGTTGTTGTATAAGACGTAAGAAATAAGAGTATTTCAGCTCCTAACAGTCTTTGCCATATAAATTGATACCACAAATTTTCCACCCGTATGCCTTTACGCGTGACTTTTTTTTATTTAAATTTACAAATTGAGAATATTTAGGTGACATTTCTGAAGTGTAATTATATTCTTGATTTATGTATCAGATACTCGACAGTTGTAATTCCTTGTTAAAAAAAGAAAAGAGTCTTAAAAACACCAGAATTGAAAGCTAACAGGTTAAAAGTTTCGTCAATCTTCATTTAATAGTCGTAAATTTCCGTGAGAGGTCAGCTCCACCCACTAATTTGCGATCTCTCGATCAAAACTGACAAATATGACAAATCTACATTTGTACAATCAACATTTCACACATCCTGATTTCATCATCGAGCTTAAACAATTCTACATTTTTAAAGTTGACATATTGACAATTGAACTTGTAATGAACATTTTCAAATCAATCTCAAAATTACCAATATACATTTAAACTTTTACAATTTGACAAATATATTTTCTTCAAGTTACAATTCTACAAATCTATTTCATAAATCGACATACATTTTGTCGTTTTGCAGGGAAATTAATATTCATATCGAAACAACTCCATAGTATAGTAAACACTGCGGAAGACAAAGTATTTGACGCATTTAGGTGAAGCTGGAAGCTTGGATGTCAATTATCCATCCATTAAAATCGGCAAAACTTCATATAATTTTTTTATTACAGATTTCATGAAGGCATATATCAAGATAGCAAATAAATATAAAATCTTTAATAGATTGAATGGTTTATCGGCTGGTTTGAAAAAATAAGCACTCTGAGGCTTCATAATTCTTATTCTTTGAAACGAAATTAAGTCATTTTTTTATACTGTACTCAAAACTGTTATTTTTTTTTAGATGGTATGTGGAGTAATACAACGGTGCTGGAATATGAAAATCCAGACAAACCACTGCTTGTGGCCTTCGGTATAGTTTGTGGTGTTTTAGCTGTTCTGATTACTCTTCTTAATGGTGCCTTGATGATAGTCATTCTACTCAAAAGAAAACTTAGATCTTCACCAAAATATTTTATTGTCTTAAATTTGAGTATTGTTGGTTTCATTGATGGTGCTTTCCTCTCTCCAATTCAGGCGTTAGGCTGGAACGAATGGAATTTTTCTTGTTTTATAATGACTGCCGCAGAAACCATGGCAAGTGCCTTTATCTACCTTGAGTTGATGTTAATTATTAGTATGTGTATCCAATGGATAGTATCAATAACAATACCCAGTTATAACGCTAAAACTAGATTTCGTCTAGTTCTGTTTTTAGTGAGTGTAAGTTGGTTGAGCAGTTTTTCAGCAACACTGGTATATATTATTCCAGGAAGTCGGGCCATATACATTGATCAGCGATGCATTTTTTTCTTAGAAGAATTTGCCCGAATAGGTTTACTTCTAACCATACCCGTCCCACTACTATTAATTTCATTCATAACTCTGGTATTATTAATTGTGGTCAGGGTAAGACAAAGACGTTGTCGCTATAACCTGGAAGCGAATGGAAAGAAATTCCCACTCGACATAGTTTTGAGTGCTTTAGTCTTGTTACTTTGTATAACTAGCTCCACGATTATTCAAAACGTAAGATACATCCTTCTTGCTATTATACTGATAATTATACTTGCTAGGTCACGACATGTTTTGATACCTCTGATTTGGTTGATAATGTCGAAGCCTATCAGAAGAGTTGTATTATGTAAAGGGGAAGAAACATTAACTAAAACTCACGATGTTACACCAATGGAACAGAAATAAGTTTTGATCTATTCATTTACTGAAATGTAGGCCTACTTATTCATAATTTTAAAAAAATGCGCGGAATAGACCTATAGAGGTATTATATCTTCGATTATCTTACCAAAGGATAACTAGTCAGATTATCTCCATAAGCATTTCCTAGGTCACGAGGTGCATACAAATTTGGTCAAATTATGAAAAAAGGAGTCACCTGCTGAAATCGAAACATCCAAATTTGCCAGTCTTATTGCAATTTATTATTTACTCGACAATTTCTTTTTTACTTTATAATTATATTAATTAATTACACTTTGTATACTCATTTCTAGATAAATATATTATAATAATTATAGTAGTGTCAAATATACATATAACCTTTAACATAGAATTCAATTTAGTCACATATTTCACAAGTTCGTCAAAAAGCAAATGAAAACAAAATGAAAGTCATCCTATCCTGCATCTGATGGGCAACGCCATGCAATTTGCAATGATGGAAATTTTGTCAGGACAGCGGCATTAGTCTACACTTTTTCGATTACCAACCTATCAGTCCAAGGAACTCCAACGCGAAAGAAATATAACATTAGCAACAGTATATTTGTCATTATAGTGGGGTATCTGTGTCAAAAGGGTCTGATGGTCTAATTTCTCAGACAATGTGGACATTGACCAGGATTTCATTTGCCATCTGTTTCCATGTTAATTCACGAAATTCGACTTTCTGTAACGTTTTCCAGAAATATCATTAATAGCTTTCTATTATGTCGCATGAAAGCCTTTAGTTTCTGGACAAAATCCAATATATCATGACCATGAAAATCTTGAGCTAGCCAAACTAAAAGTAGAACACACTACACTGACTACACTTTATCAACATCCGCTTGACTGTCACTGCACACAAAACGAATAATTTTAGAACTATCCTTCGGCATGAAAATCTCTCATCACAAAATCTGAAAGAAAATGAAATTTCGGACATCTAATTCCAATTCTAGACCAAAAATTATTCAAAAATAAGCATGCAAAAACCCCAAAAGGAAGAGGATTTCTATTAAAAACACGGACTATCATTTGCATAAAATGTTTTAGTGAACTCGGTCCTGTATCTATTCAAAATGTCGTCTTCCAATTATGCCAATTACATAGATCACCGTTAAAGATTTCCTTAATATCGTATAATCACCACCAATAAACTTTTATTAACATAATATCAGTATGGAGATACCATTCTCTGACTTTAATTAACTTAAAGGGGCAGATGCGCTATTTCCAGAGGTTGATTTGGGTCTTGAATATAAGAAAATAGCCTTCGGAACTAATACAAATATGTACAAAAATCGTATAATTCCTCCATAATACCTTAAACTATAGGAATTTCTCTTTCCATATGTCTTTTCTATGTAGGCCTATTACAGAGTATTATTATTCTAGACACACATGGATTTGAAGGCTCAATTTTTTTCATGTATAAGAAAATAAGATCCATTAATATGAAGAGTCATTGTCGGCAATTCAAATTTAAAGAAGTCAGATATTTTTCTTGGACTAGGATATTACGAGTGGGCAGTAACGTTCCTAGAAAACATCAGGTGTGGGGCCACAATATATTTTATTTCGCATTTTCACATGAAATTAGGTAAATGAGATTTTGTTCTCCGTATGAAATTTGGTCAGTCATTAAAAAAGTTTTTCCGGATTTATTGTCTTTAAATAAATGAGAAATAGGTACATGTTCTCAGGTACGCCACACAGAACCACCACAAGGTTTGGAGTCAAGTAGTGTCTAAGAGGTCCATACTATTGTCGCTAATGTTCGCTGTTAATTTAACTGAAGAATGGTGATTGAAAAAAGTTTTCTAGTGATTCGGTTCAAATGATAAAAATGTCAAGAAATCTGTCGTAAAAAGAGGTTTGAAAGGTGAAATTTGGTCTATTTCGCCATAAGGATTATTTGCATAGCTTGGAGCAAATCGTTTGCCCTTAGCTGTTCCAGAAATATAAGGTATGTTTTTCCATTTAAAGTAAAGTAATTACGCATTAAATATATTTCTAGAAGTTCTAAAAAATTTGTATTTTGTCTTTCTTCGGCAGGATTTCTGATAAAGGCTTTACAGACAGTATCTGTGTTATAAAAATAGCTTAATACGTTTTTTATGTAGAGAATTGGCCGCGATTGTTCGGGAATGCAAGTACTATATCCGTAGGGGCATCATAACACTCTCTAGATCTGGAGCAGCTGATTCATGGCTGAACATCACTACTGATTGGTCGTTGTCTTCATGCAACAGCATTATCCGGCGTCATGCAGTGCTGCGCCAGATTGCAAATTGGCCCGCTGAACACATGCATAGTTAAAGATAACTCGCATGCTTCCTCATGTCAGCGAATATGGCATGCTGGGAAATAATACTTTCTAATGGTGGCAATGATTGACCCAAGCCAATCGTGGCCAATGCCAAGATACCAAACTTCGTGGTAAGTAAGGCATTGCATGACTATATCATGTCAATGGTGTCGAATGGGGCTAATCTAGAAAGAACATATCCTCGTTAGTCGTTATGAACTAAAGGAGTGCAATCTCTGTGATATGCTCCTACTTATAGGAGTAAGAAAGTAAGAAAGTAAGAAAGATCTATATTTTACATAGATATAACCAAGTAAAAACGCCATGTAAAGAACCAATGCTCTAACTGACTGTGCCATAGAACCTCACAAGGAGTTGGGGCCCTATTTCAAAAGTACAAATATTAGGATAACAAAAAATAAGGGTGAGACCATAGTCACTGTGTTCACTAAAGACACTTACAACGTATTTTTCCGTTGTCTACAATGTCTTATCTGGCTCGTCCCAAGCATTTGAGAGTGCAAAAAATTAAAAGTGATTCTCATAAAATTTAAGTTCTCAAGAATGGTTAATATGAGTATATATTCATCAGTTAGCTTACCTGGTATCATAAAGTTACAACAGAATCCCTGTAAAATCAGTAATTATTCAAAAACGCTTAATCTTACTATTAAGCGTTTTTCGATAGTTAATTGTATATTTATCGATAATTACTAAGTTTTTGGATTTATTGGATTATATAAGAATCCTGTTATGTTATTTATGACACCCCGTATATCTACTGATGAATATATGTTCTCATTGGTCAAGTTTAAAATTCTTAAATTCTGTGTTCATTTTAAGACCCTGTTCAATCAACTCGTCTACATGTCAACTCGTGGACAGTCAACTCATCTACAATCTTGAGTTAACTCATCAACTATCTCGAGTTAACTCGTCAACAACCTTGAGTAACTCATTTACACAAACTATTGAAATAAAGATGTTATTTTGACAACAGACAATTACAAACGCTCAAATAAAATGGTATGATAATACAAGCCAAGTAGCTGATAACGTAACACTACTACTTCAACATGTGAATAATGTTTTATATATTCATATATATTTATTCATATTAGACCCAATATCATTTTGCTAGCTCTGTCTTCTATAATTTTCCATGTTTTTTGTATGCTGACATTCTATTTGAAGAGAACCTCATTTAAAACTTTAAAAATGTGTTATTATAAATTCCCGAATGACACAATAATGGCCATAAACTTGTACTTGAATATTTAATAATATGACTGATAAAATGATTCTGATAGCTAGTTCAATCTATTCTTTATTCGTAGGACTGTAATGTATTTTTTATGTTAACATTAAGTCTACACTCTCTGATAAAATGCTTTTTACAAGTTTTTTAAAGTTTTTTTCATATGTATTTTTGCGTGCACTTTTAGGTTAACTACATGTGCAAAACTCTTTTCACAAACATCACATATATATGGTTTCTCACCAGAATGTACTCTCATGTGAATTTTACGATGCGAAGCAGTTGTAAAAGATTTTCCACAAACATCACATGTGTATGGTTTCTCTCCAGTATGTGTTCTCATGTGAACTTTATGATGTGATGTAGTTACAAAAGATTTTCCACAAACATCACATTTGTATGGTTTCTCTCCAGTATGTGTTCTCATGTGAACTTTTAGCTTATCAGACTCTATAAAATACTTTTCACAAACATCACATTTGTAAGGTTTTTCTCCAGTATGTTTTCTCATGTGAACATTAAGATTGTTTGCTCTTATAAAACGTTTTTTACAAACGTCACATTGGTGAGGTTTCTCTCCAGAATGTGTTCTCATGTGCAACTTGAGGGAATTTGGATGTCGAAAATACCATTCACAAACATCACATTTGTATGGTTTTTCTCCGGTATGAGTTCTCATGTGCATCTGAAGAGAATTTTGATGAGAAAAACACCGTTCACAAATGTTACATTTGAAAGGTTTCTCTCCAGTATGTGTTCTTGTGTGGAATTTAAAATTAGCTGCTGAAGTAAAACATTTTCCACAAAGAGCACATTCGTAAGGTTTTTCAGTTTTATGTTTTTTCACATGATTACAAAGTTTTCTTGTCTTGTCAAAGCCTAGTCCACAAATACCACAATAGAAAGTTTTCTCTCCAGTATGTGTTCTCATGTGAACATTAAAATGACTTGCTGTGATAAAACACTTTTCACAAAAATAACATTTATATGGTTTCACTCCAGTATGTATTCGTAAGTGTTCTGTGTGATATGACAATTTTGAAGAACATTTTCCACAAACATCACATTCGTAAGGTTTTTTAATCTTATGTATTTTTAAGTGATTACTAAGTTTTCTTGTCATAGCAAAACCTCGTCCACAAATACCACAATGGAAAACAGATGGTTGTTTCCTGTGAATTTCAAGACTTGAGCAAGTTGAGGTTAATATTTGACCTGTATTACAACCATTCATCAAAACTCCAGATAGATATTGTGGTAGCTCTTGTATTCCGCTGTATTCTGCCATTGTGAAAAGTATAAACCGATTTTGATTTGGATCACAGAGAAGTTTCCGATCAAAAAGTTTGGTAAAGTGTAGTAACAGTTGTGTTATTATTACTATTGGTAGTGATTTTAGAAACAGGAAGTGACAAATATTACGGATTGACTCTTGGCTTACAGACATGATGTTATTTTTTATATAATATACAATGTATATATTATATTTGAGTGTATGTTGATCATCATGTGTTCAGTGTAAAAGAGCTAAAACTTATGTCCTGTGCCTCTGCTTTCGTAACTTTGCCATTAGTACAAAATTACAACCTTTAGCCTACTCCCAAAGAGGGTCCCAGTCACCAGAAAAAAAATACAAAATTCTAAAATAAGAAAGCACCAAAGGAAGTATCTAAAACTAAAAGGTTAATACATAACATAAAATAGCTTGCCAGGCAAGATAATATACGCCCACTGGAAGCTTTGATTTCAGATATATACTTCTTTTGAACTTTTTGAGGCGATACTGAATAATATTACCAAGTTTCATCCTAAATCCATCAAGATTTGTGCCTTCTGGAGTGTTTAAGAGCTAAAAATTGAACGCGTTTTCAAGGGCAATAACTCATACTAAATATTTTCCGATTTTTCGGATTTTCAATAGGGTTCATCCTTGGGTGATTATGAACAACCATAACAAGTTTTGTCGAAATCAGTCAAGAATTGTGCCTTGTAGAGTGTTTACGAGCAATTGTGGACGGACGGACGGACATGGGTGACGACAATATACGCCCCCTTTTCACGTGGGCGTATAAAAATGGTTCACAACTTATACTGGGGCCCTACCAAGGACAATGTTATATCCTTGTCTAAGAAAATGAGGCCCTATGTTAGATATGACTGCTTTTTAGGGACCAAATACAAAAGTTCTAGGACCTTCACTGTAGAGGGTAGACTAATATCCTTAAACCTCCCACTACTAAGACAGATCTATAGCAGGCATCAAATTGACTTACAGTGGGGTCTAGGGAGAGCCTGCTTCAAAAAATACCCGGGGGATGGGCCCCAACCCACTTAAACCAACGGGCACTCACTCATTTAGTTGAGCCACTGCATTAATGTGTTCATGTGCGTGCAGCTACCTGTGCTATATTCAATTTATAACATTTACTTGTGTATTTTATGTAGGCCCTAGGCCTATATACATGTTTATAACAAATTGTATATCTAAATCATTGTGTAACATCTTACTTAAGCTGGTAGCCCGATAAATCTGGCTCTATCGGTTATTAGAGCGATATTGTCACGATTATCGTCCAATTATTGGACTACGTAATACTATAATCAAGCTATTTATATTTTCTTGTTCATAAATGTAAAAATCAAGATTGGTTTGTTGAGTGATTAGTGATGCAGACCAATCGGTCGGTTGTGGTGTGGTCTTAAAAATTCCTTAATGTGGACCGGTCTAGAGTCAGGTGCGTCCTCCTATACCATTAAAATTAATGATACCTGGTAAATAAGAACAACAACGCTATGAAAGGAAAAAAACGCCAATCCAGCGACAGCGGTCCAGGCACACATTGGACACATATGATCTGGTCCACATGACTAGAATCGTTTAGCAAAACTTTTGATATCATAGCTTAATGGTTCAACGATTTCCTTTGAGGGAGGTGAAGATATAATAGAACATGTAGACAGCGTACCAATTCAAATTGCGATATCAGCACCCTTGTTAATTGACTAATAAAGCTCATTATTGTATAAAAATATTCCATAGAAAGCCACAACCGAGCCCAAAATTTGAATACAAAATTTGAAAAAAGAAGCAAAGTGAACTTCAATTTTGAATTCTTTCGTTTCTGATATCATTTTAACCTTTTGTACGGAGGTATATACCCAGTTACTGAGCATTCAATTTCCGACCAACGCCGTAGTGAAACGCAGGAAACGAGCTTGTCGTACACACGTAAACAACAATATGGATGCTGTGAGAGTTAACAAGTGGAACTGTCATGTCAGCAATTAGGTCTTATTTCTTGGTGGAGTCATAATCAGTTAGCTGAGACAACTTTTCTCTAAAATGCATCCAGCAATTCCAATTAGTTTATTATTTGTAGGATGCTGCAGCAATGTCATTTTCTTGGAATTATTGGTCAGGTGTGTTATTCGGGACTCGGTATTATTTGTCATTTTCTCCCTTGAAAAACGCTTTGCACAATTCTCAGAAATTTATGAATAACCTATTTTCGTGAATATAAGGATTCAACACCGAATTTCGTCAAATTTAAAAAAAACAATTTTTTTTTTATGTCTGAGATGTTTCCTCAGATATTCTACAAAATAATTAAAATTGGTTTATTTCGATTTTCCTTATGAATCCTTCACTTTGACCCATATTTCATGAGCAACCAACTCGACAACGGCGGCTGAATGCGTCACCTATTTTCATGTACAATGTTTGATCTATAAATAAGTCTAGAAAAACACGTATGGATACCAGGTTGTATAATTAACTTCTCTTAGTATTTATCTTTAATATCAATTCATTATAACTAGTGACAATTCCTTCAAAGAACCATGATTTTAAAAAAAATAGTGACTTACAAAATATGTAGCGTGATTTATTGCTAAAAGTCACTGAAACAACATAAGAATATGGTCCATTTTGTGTTCCATAGAAATTTTCTGCAGACACGGAATCCGCTAGTTGATCAAGTGACTTCATTCGTTGGACTACATTCTAGCAGACGACACTTGGAATTCTGATTACCGCTTGGGATTATAAGGAAATTTGGCCGATAAAAATGGTGATGTTTGGTAATAAGTGAAATCCGCCATTTTGTATTTGTCAAAGTATACATTAATACAGTTTACCTTGCTTGAAACTACTGAATTCATTCTACTAGCTGATATTGTACAGAAAACCCATGTTTATCAAAACAAGCAAATGCGGAGGTTACGCGAGGTCGCACATGTAAATTATTAATCCTTTCTGGAAATCCACGAAAATAGGTTACAACGAAATTAGGTTTCTTGACTGTATATATATTTATATATTGTAACATATTTTACAGCCAGGTTCCGGGATGTGGTAGTCTTGTCACAATGTGTCAGTTTTTATTTATAACTGTTGAAGGCTTCATATTTACTACAAAATTTGGCTCGAAGAAACCTGTGATACCTATATCGTAAGTAATAATATTTATTTTTAGACTAGGCCCTATAGAGATTAATTCTAAAATTGTAAGTGTTCACTTTTGCAAATAGGCATCTCTTTCCGAGAGTCTACATAGCCTGTAGGCCCATTTTATCAAGGATAAGGTGTTTTTTGAAGTTTTCAGTGTCACAAAAGTAAAAAAATAAGGATTTTGATTGTTCTCGTTGATCCCGAAGTCTAAATCCACATAGGGTTTCAGTTTTCTATTTGATTACTGATAGGCCTATGTTGAAAATAGAGAATTCCAGTCACCCCACCCAGTGAACCAAGAACAATATTTCTATATATATATACATCTATCTCTGTGAATCCATTTACTAACTCGTGTAAATTAGATAGAGAATACATGCATCTTTGATATTCTTAGATATGTTGATGCTGAAAAATCAACTTAATATTTCAATTTTCTGAATTTTTAATGCATATTATATAATTGGCAGTGATGGTATTGGTAAGATTGAAGATTTTTTTTTGTAAATTGAGAACTTGCATTTTATAATAGCTGAGTTTAAAGCTTACTCTTGACAGCTGGGACTACCTCGCTTTCCAGGAAAGATTATCTTACATAATACTGGTATGACCAAATGATCTTGAGCAAAATTTAAATTGATTATGAGATAAACTAGTGTCATTCCTTAGGAACAATTATCCACCCACTTGAAACGTTAAATTACTCTGTATTTTTTTGCAACTATTTCAGATATTATTTGTATATGGTGGCCATGTTTTTTGTGGTTCAGGTTATCAATAATATAGTATTTAATTTTAATATTGCTATGCCCTTACATATGATATTTCGTTCAGTAAGTACTTACACTATAGTCTATTCTGTCTTAACCAACAGATAAAAGCATACTTTTTCTCTCTCAGTCTAGATTCCCAACATCTTATATACTGTTTTATACAAATATTCGAGAAACATATTAAGGCTTTATGCCCTTGCCTTGGTCTAGATTATACAGATTATGAATTCAGATTCACAAAGCTAAGATTATAGTGACTAAATATTTAAATCTCTAGTGATAAAGTAATTAAGTAATGTCATTTTTCAGGGAACATTAGCAGCTACTATGATATTGGGTATATTCATATTAAAAAGACAGTAAGTATTATTTGATTAAATACTCAATAAAGTTATTCAACTTTACCTCACAAGGGAAGCTTTTTCTCCCTTTAAAGTCTACTCAGCAAATACTTCTAATCCATTTCACAGAATATATGTGTCTTGTAATTGTATACTTGTATTTACAGATATAAATTAAGTAAATATATATCAGTTGCTTTAATAACGCTAGGAATCATAATTTGTACAATATCATCAGCCAGTCAAGTGGTAAGTACACGTTTCTATATGTTTTCTTAATCAAAATATTTCTTTACCTGGTCATCTGGTAATTCAAGGTTTGAAAGAGATTTTTCATTTTTAGACTTGGCTGAGACATCTTATTGCAAAATGATTTTTTATACGCCCACATGGAAATGTGGACGTCTATTGCTGTTGCCCTGTCCATCCGTCCATCCACATTTCTTGTATGCACGATAGAGGCTACAGTTTTTATTCGATCTTGATGAAACTTGGTATGCATGTATGTATTGATGAGATCTCAATCAGTTTCGAAAATGGTAATAATCGGATGAACAGTGTCTGAATTATTGCCCTTGACTTAATAAAAACACTGCAAATTTGGCTTGTATGCACAATAAAGACTGCAGTTTTTATTTGATCTTCATTAAACTGGTTTGCATGTATATATTGATGAGATCTCAGTCAAGTTCTCAGTCAAGTTCGAAATTTGTATTAAGTGGATGATCAGTGTTGGAGTTATTGCCCTTAACTAAATATAAACACATCAAATTTGGCTTGTAGGCACAATAAAGGCTACAGGTTTTAACCGATCTTAATGAAACTTGGAATGCATGTATATATTGAAGTTCGAAATTGGTATTAATCCGATGAACAGTTTCAGAGTAAATTCCCTTGTGTGTATGTCAACCTTGTACATGTTTGAATTTCGATGATAATTTGATGTAACTGTTTTTGAGGTATTGCCTTGACTTTAAATAATTTTAAGATTATTTCAATCTTTGCAAGTTCATTATTAAAGATGGGTTCCCTCATTTTCATTTATGAAATTAAAATGCTAATATTTATATGAATAGAAAGAGGCGATGTTCTAATGACTTGGAAAAATAACAGTTTGTCTCACATGTCCATAATTAATTCATAATTAGCCAAATTTGAAGAAAATTACCAGCAGAATTCCAATGAGTGACCGATCAAAAAAGGTCAAAAAGTCTTTTTTTTGTTTATCCAGACTGTACGTACATGGACATTTATGATTGGTTAAAACTTAGATTATATGCAATATTAGAAAATAATGATATGATAAAGAATACATGCTAATTCATTAGAAACACCAATTAATCAAATAGTTTGCTTAATTTGACACTAAAAAATAAGGAAACCCATCTTTAAGTCACCAAAGACTTTGCTATCATTCCTGACAGCTGGCAGTGCGCGTATGCTACCTTGCATCGCAAGCTATCTTTTCTTATCAAATAGAATGATCTTAACTATTTGTCTGATAGCAATCTTTTGGGTGTGTCTTAAAGAATCACTGAACAGCCTGGCCCTTTGATATGCAACCACTTTCTGTTAATGCTAAATTTTAAACTTGGGCTTGCTTTGGCTCGGGGATCAATGTTTTTGTTCATATTCTTTATTGTTTTGAATAATGATTTTATGTATTTTTTATGATTGGAAGGAATCTCATCCTAGTAAAACTGGTAATCTAGCCAATGATTATTTTATGTGGTTAATAGGTAAGTATTCAATAATAACAGGATATGAGTTATCTCCCTTCTCTTACAGTTTATTATCAAAACATCCTCAGCATTCAGTTTAGTGACAACATGAGTTGAGTTGACCATGCTTGATTTAATAAGGAGAAGTATTTTTCAACATGGCTCAGATCATATAATTATGGCCTCTGTTCTTCAAAGTATGTTTTAATGATTAAACGGTTTGTTACAACTATTAAATTGTCAGCTATTTTATCATCTAAAACATACACTGTAAATCTGAGAATTCTTAATTGAATAAGTTTAAATAATGAGTGTTTGTTTACTTTGATAGGTATTGCTTTACTTGTATTCGCCTTATTTATGTCTTCTTTAATGGGGATATTTCAAGAAAAGACCTATAAACAATTTGGTAAACATCCTAAAGAAGCTTTATTTTATAATGTAAGTACATGAATTGTTTTTTTTGTATAGCTGGAGGATTTTAGGCGGAGATGTCTCAAAATATCGATTGTATCAAAATATCGATTGCGCTACAAAATAAGTCCAACGTGGGCAAACGAGTAAATATGCGGGCGAATGGAATCGCTTTGGTAATTCATCCGCTGAAAATGTCTCACATATATAATGCCAGCAATTTGTACAGGTGCATGAGCAAATTTTTTGAGAGATTTAAAATTTGCAAATATAGATCGGCAAAAAATAAGCCGACTACTTAACACAATGTAGTTACTGATGATCATGTTAATAACTTAATTGATTACTTGTTAAAACTACTGAATGTGAGATGATTTTATTTTATTTTCAGCATGCTTTACCACTACCAATGTTTTTAATACTAAGTAATAATATTTACGATTCATTTCAAAATTTTAATCAATCCGGTACGTATGTTATCAGTTATTCTTTTAAATGTATAAATTAGCATTTATCTACTTTCCTCACAGTTATACTGGTAAATCAAATTTTACAGATTAGCTTTATATATATAGTACTGACATTCTTTAAATAATTGTTTTATTACAGAGTCTTATAAGATACCAGTGTTAGGCAGTGGTATACCTATATTGTGGGCCTATTTAATTTGTTATTGTTTAACTCAGTATCCTTTTACAATTATTATTTCTTTGACTGATGGGACTTCTTTGAAACTAGTTGACATTTTAGCCACAGATATATATTTTTCATGTTATTTGATGGTGCACAGACACAAATTTTAAGCATGATTTATTGGGGATTCCAAGCAAAGTTGAAGGGGTTCAAAGGAATAAAGTTGTCTCGTGCTTATATTTGCTTTCTGATGATAGAAGCCAATATTTGATTTATTTCAATTCAACAAATTTATATTGTTGTGCCTTCCGTAATTGACCTACTCCTGTCATTGATCTCTTCTAGTAATTGATTTCAGATTGATTCTTCCAGCTATATAAGTATTGGAACACACCATATTTCTTACCCTTCAGTTCTAGAGTGCTTAGTAGCTTATTCATTAACATGCTTACAATTCTTAACCAGATATTAAGATATTTATGTATTAGTTCAGTGTTTGTGTTAACCACAGAATTGACCTCCTTAAAAGTGACTTTGATTGTAACACTACGTAAATTTACCAGTATACTTATATCAATCTGGTATTTCAATAATCCTTTTACAATTTATCATTGGGTAGGCTCATTATTAGTTTTTATTGGAACTTTAATATTTACAGAGTTAATAAATATAGATAGCTTATTGCCCATTAGTACGTCGAAGAAAGAAGTCTAGAATCAGTGATAGTTTTAATGAGAAAATCTACAATTACAGGGTGTGTGTATAGGATTTTAACTGAGTCACTTATTCTTCAGGTTTTCTATACTAATAAAAACAAGTCCCCTAGGTGCAATATTTGACTTGACAGTTCTCATTGATATTGACCCATTTATTACCTGAACAAGTATTCATCTATAATGAGAGTGGCTAGGTTTAAACCTAGATACATGATATTATCAAACTACCAGTTATTTAGTTGTTATATAAATATTTTTGAGAGTTTAATCCAATTCAGTAACTTGATCTATTATCTGTGCACTAATTTTTTGGTCTACAATACAATCTACTCAAGTACTTGATTTGAGTTAGTTTTTCATTTTCACTTGTATGTTGCTTTCTTCTCTTTGTAGTTTTCAGCATCTACTTGAATTTTGATATTGTTTATTGAAAGTTCTTATTATAATGCAAATCTAGATGTTTAGTTTCGTTTTTTATCTGAGGGTTACTACACATTTTTGATCTGACAAGATTCTTCTTTGAACCATGTTCATGTCAAAATTGCCTAATAGCATAAAAAGTTGTCAGAACCAAGAATATCCAAGTATTCCTCTCATATTGTAAGGACATTTTTCATTGAACCTGATTAAACAGATTTGATGAACAATTCCTAAGAAAAACACAAAACCCAACATCTAGATTTGCATTTTAATCAGATCACCCCGTTGAATTGATTGTTTTTAAGATGTATCCTTATGTGAGTTATTGTTTTAATCTGATCCTAATATTTAAACTGAACAATAGTATGCTCTAATGCTATGTAATTGGTTACACAAAGTCACTAATTAAACTGGAAGAAATTTGATAAAAGTATGAACATGTTTTGTTTTGTGTATTCCTGTTTTTATATGCCCACATTATAATGTGGTGATTCCAATAAGAAAAACAGGCAGCAATAACCAATCACAGAAGACTTTTTGATGGGATCACCAATACCACTAGTAATACAGCGATTCATTTGATGTATTGCCACATTATAATGTGGTCGTATATTGTCGTCGCCCCTGTCCGTCGATCCGTTGCTTGTGAACGCAATAGAGACAACAGTTTTTATCTGATTTGAATGAAATTTGGTGTGATCATTTATATTAATGAGATCTTGGACAAGTTTGAATTTGACGATCTTTTGATGAACGGTTTTTGAGTTATTGCCCTTGACTTATGAAAAACGTCTCAAAATTTGGTTGTGAACACAATAGAGACTACAGTTTTCATCCAATTTAAAGGAAATTTGATATGAATATTTATAATGATGAGATTTTGGACAAGTTTGAATTTGGCTATCTGGCGATGAACGGTTTTTTATGCGCCCACATCTCTCTATGTGGACGTATATTGTCGGCACCCCTGTACGTCCATCATTTGGTCGGTCCGACCGTCGGTCTGTCAACATTTGCTTGTAAACGCTCTAAAAACTAGATTTTTTGATGAAATCAAATGAAATTCGGTATGTGTATATACATATTCATAAAACGAAAATCAACTTCGAATTTGAGCTATTTTCGACAGTTAGAAGCAGAGTTATTGCCCTTGCCCCTAAATCTTGAATATGCTATTACTCTCTTAGTTTTCAACCGATTTTAATGAAACTTAAAATGGATGTTATTAGACCTAAATTGAAAGGTTTGAGAAAGTTTAAGGCTTTTTGAAGATTTAGACCTCTTACGTCAGTTTTGAGGATTTATCGCCCTTTAACCTCTATACAGTAAGTGCTTCTATCAACATCAATTGCTCGTAAACATTCTAAAAACTAGAGTGTTTGAAGGAAATCAAATGAAATTCGGTATGTGCATACATATTCATGAAACGAAGATCAAGTTCGAATTTGAGCTATTTTTGACCGTTAGAAGCAAGTTATTGCTCTTGCTCCAAAATCTTCAATATGCTATTACTCTCTTAGTTTTCAACCGATTTTGATGAAACTTAAAATGGATGGTTGGTTTTTACCATCTGCATGCCGTGGTGGGCGTATATGGCTGTGGTCCACTATCTCTAGTTATTGCCCTTGACTTAGGAAAAACGCGACAAAATTTGTTTGTGAACACAATAGAGACCACAATTTTCATTCGATTTAAATGAAATTTGGTGTGATCAATATTATGATGATGAGATCTCAGACAAGTTCGAAGTTGATGATCTTTCGATGAACATTTTTAAGTTATTGCCCTTTTTTTATGAAAAACGCGTCAAAATTTGTTTGTGAACACAATAGAGAGTACAGTTTTCAACTGATCTTAATGAAATTTTGTATTTATAATGATGAGATCTTATTCAAGATTGAATTTGACAATTTTTCGAAATTTGAGTTATTGCCCTTGACTTAGTAAAAATGCATCAAAATTTGTTGGCTTGTTAATGCGATAGAGGTGACAGTTTATGTCAGAATTTTATTAAATGATGTGTGTTTGTTTATATCAACTATATCTTGAACAGTTGGTATGATTTGACACAGATAGGTGGCTGCCCTTGATATACTGAAAATATACTGAAAATATATCAGGAAAGTGGGCTTATCTTGCTAGGCAACCACTTGTTTAATATATTCAAGGATAAAAGACTGTAACAAGTCTTTCATTTCTCTCAATTTTTATTTCATTCAATATAATAATAATAAATCTTCATTACAGTTCGTCACAATATTAGAATTCTTTGGTTTGGGAGTTCTCTTAAAATCACATTCAAATATATGTTTGTGTTTGACATATTTATCTTATGCACAATTTTTGATTTGCCAACTATGTTGTTGAAAATTTGATTCAATATTATATTTACAATAAAAACATTATCTTTCCTTAAATGTAAATAGGAAATTTGTTTAAAAAATCTACATCTAACAAATCCACTATCTTCTCACCTTCAACAGTAATATTATAGTAGAATGTAAATTTTAATTTTTAACTTTTCTCTTTTTAAGCAATATTTGGCAGTATCTATATAAAATAAGTCATGATTTATTATTCTTCTGAGGCCATATTATATAACATAACTAATTTGTATTCATAAATTCATCATTTTCATCAAAAAGCCCTTTTTTGTGTTTGTTTACAAATAAATGTAAAGACTGACTCTGAATAGTTCAAGGTTGAATACAACCCTCATAACCCTATAAAAAGATAATGAACTGTCTAATGGTGATTTGACACTCAAATATACTAACATCTTTGCCATTTAAAGTTAGTTTGCAATGCTACTTAACATATGCCAACTAGCAGCTTTGTTTAAAATTAAAATATTTAAAAACAAACTAGCCCAGTCTTCAGCATAATCAGTTATCAGGCAAGTTTGAGACTCAAGGGTGCTGTTCAAAGAAATATTTTCTTTTATTCATAAAAGCACTAACTAAAGTAGAGAAAGTATTCTTGGATCACTATCATAAGTATTGTATCCATTAGTTTTTTTAAAATTTAGAGTTCATGTCTATTCAGAATTTTTGTTGCACAGAATGTATCTTAATCACTACTAGTATTCAGTCTAATATTCTTAACACATCACAGTCACTTTCCTCATTAGATTTGTCAGCTTTTTCATATTCATTAACTGTTAATATTCGACTAGGATCAAACTGTTTTTCCAGTGTTTTCCAACGATCAAGTGGCCATATAATATGTGATGCCTTTCCAAACAGCAATGCTATAGGCACCTAAATTATACAAAAATATATAAAATATATACAATAGTTTATCCTATTATTATAAAATGATTACATGTAAAATTAATGAAATAATTGAATTAAAATCATCTGTAAATCAGACTAACGAGTCAGCAGATAAACTTAACTCATTGCCCTGTTTATTTAAATGAACCCTTCATATAATAAAATAAAAGAGATCAATCTTCATGTGAAGAATTTCAATAATATCTTACAATAAATACAATACTTACTGGGCCATATGAGTTGCTATCAATACTATATTTTCTGTTTTCTCCTTCAACCCAGCAATGTCCTTTTGGTATTCGAATATGTGTTTTTTTATAACCTTTGGTCCTGAAAGTTCAAATATAGTAATGTAATAGACTACATTCGTATTCTCAACTTATATCATGCGTTATCGAAATATTTTGTCAACTAGAATTACATGTATGTCTCAATGGCATTTACACGAAAATCAATTCAAAGTATCATTTCATTAAGACACCATAATAATACTACAAGGGCAGTAGAGCTGTAAGTAGTATTTTTCAAGTTAAACATAAAACATTTATAAGGTTGCCTCAGAATACAAAATCCAACAATATTTAAAAACTGTCCTAACAAGGGCATACAACTCTGGATCTCATCTTGTTAAATTGCCTCACTAACTACTTTCAACATCATATGATACATTTCAGCTAAGTTTTAAGAATTGCAATTGAGTGTCAGATCCATGTTTCAATAAAAAATTGAATTCATGAAATTTAAAAAGTCTACAAAGTCTTACTTGATCAGATCTCCTTCTAATGCTATCAATCTTTTAATCTGATTTTCTTTCACACAACGTGGTGATCTGTAACAATGGATTAGAACTTGTACTCATCACCTAAACTTGAAAAGACCACACCCTAGAAATTACCACATTGTATTGATGATTTCACAATAATTTTCAATTATATTCCAGTCTTTATCATGTTTTCTGCATTGCAATCAATCAATCAAAAACAAGGAAATCCGTACTTCAATCTTATCATTCTAGCTCCATGGTGTTTAAGGAAACATCATGGGGTAACTTTAGAGTATCTTTCACAATTTAAGAATAGGTAGTCTTATACACTAGTCAGCTGGTATTCTGTTAAACAAGGGTTTGTTAATTGCAAGGGATACATCAAATTGGTTGTACATCTTTAATTTATATCAGGTAAAGGGGTTTAAAGAGAGTGTCAACAAGTACAGGGTATGATTTATCTTAAAAGTTCGTTAAAGGTCCTGTAAGGTCAAAAAGTTTACCTTCTAATCACATATTATGTATTGAATAAACTTCAATAGAAACCTAGTTTATGTAGGTCTGTAATATTTTTAAAAATGAGAGTCATAGAGAGCACAAGATGTATAATGGATGTTCTGATATACCTGCTTCTCTTGACAACCCTGTTTTATATGAGTAAATCAAACAATATACATATCATGCACTTTATGTCTGTTTTATATCAATAGTTCTGCTCCAATAACATAATTTTGTATTCATTAATGAACTAAATTGATTGAATAAATAAATTGTGAACTTATGTGACATAAAATATCACTACATTTAACTTTTTTCTTTTCCATTTCACACAATTTACAACACATTTCCATTTAGTTTAATTTGAAGAAAAATCAATATAATTTACAGTATAATCTAATGAAGAGAACATGTTATTGACAGAGAGCAGTAAGATACTATTATAAAACAGATGCCACATTGCTAAAATATTCCATTCAATTATATACTGTACTGTAGATCAATTTCAGGGATTTTCAAATGAGGGTTTCAAAATTTTGCATGTGTATCAGGGACACTGATAGCATCAATTTGCACCATTCTGATTTTAAGAATGTAATTCCTGCAATTCCACTAAAACTACGTGTTTGGTGAAGTGAGTAATTGCAAAATATGCTTTATGACATAAATCAAAGTTTGAAATTGGAATGGTGCAAATTGATGCTATCAGTGTCAGCCATCTAGATTTTGTCATGAAACTACAAATAATAAAACATTCAGGAATTTTCGGTGCACTGGACGTGCAGCAACATTTGTGTGCCATTAATAAAGCATAAATAAAGCATCATTCTATTCACGTTTTAAGGAAGGCGACAAAGGAACAGTGAATATTGATTAACTGGGCGACCATCTTCTATTGCCACTAATATTATGTTATACTCAGAATATTATTCCAAAATTTTTATTTTTGGAATTTTTATTCCTCACATTTATAATCCAAATTAAATCCAAAACCCAGGAATATTTTTCTGAGGATTTTATATCCAGATGTAGATAAGTTGGTCACAGTAAATTTGGTCACAGAAAGTATGGTCCCGTATTTTTGTGGCCTAATTACCTTGTACCCGTATTACTGTGACCAAAATACCTTGTACCCATATTACTATAACCATAATATCTTGTTCCTGTATTACTGAGACCATATTTCCGGTGACTAAATTTCCTGTGACCAAGTTACCACGTACTTTTATATCCGATTGTCTATATATGCTATCATTGGGAAGAATTTTTTGTCATTTTTTTTGTCCCGCTGAATGTTTGGGAATAAAACCTAACTGTATCTTAAACAGAGTTCTGTATTTATCAGTTTGGTAGAATCTTTCCAGATTCTTGATGCATACCATTGCAGTATGTTCCTAGTGCATCAATGTGATCCTGATTACACCACTCCAGTCAGCACTAATCCAGCTGCTGCCTAATAGTACCAGGAGTTAGATGTATCCTTCCACCACCTATAGTTCAATTTATGAAAACTGGGTAAGACTTAAATTGAACAAAATAGATAACAATGAAACTTATCAAGAATTTACGACTAATTCAATGACTAGTCAGTAAGCTCTATTCACAAATCAACCACTACAAACAAGTGCATTGTTAATAATTATAACATATATAATTAATAGAAACTTCCAATATAAATATATACTAGCAAGGTAACATAGGCCCTAGCAGGATTAATTATTTTATACAACAAATTAAAAGAACTGGAATGAAACTCCCTGTTGAATTCTACCACACAATAGAACATATCATGACAATTTGTTTGACTATTCTATCTCTCATGTCACTTTTTTCCACATAATTAATTTTCAGGTTTAATTTGTAGATTGAACAACAGATAGCTTCATACATGGTAGAACTTTCTGGTTTGATAAAATTTGATTTATATCTCTAGAGATGTTCCTTGTGAATTGAATAGAGATATTTTTAATGTGCCTCTTTAGTCAGCCAGCTGAAAAGAAATTAAAAAATCAGTTTTGCATGGACTTCTAACTTGTCAAAGCAAAAGATATAGTTTTCTATGCTGAAGACAACAAATCGTTTATTTGATAATATCAGTGGATGCAGTTTCACTATTTTGATTTGATGAATATAGTATAGCTATTCTCATTCAGATTTTGCCAAATACTTTTTTATACGCCCACACGTAAGATGGGCGTATATTGTAATCACCCCATTGGTCCGTTCACATTTGGCTCGTGCTCACTCTACAGGCTACAGTTCTTTATGGATTCTTTTGATTTTTATTTTGTATGTCAATGTTGTTATGAAGATGATCCCTATTGATTTTCGTGATGATCGGATAATTTTTCACCAAAATATCGTGTCTGACTTGACGTTTTTCTCTATTAGCTATATTGTGCAACTCGTGCTCACTCTACAGGCTACAATTCTTTACAGATTCTTTTGATTTTTATGTTGTGTGTCAATGTCATTATGAAGATGATCCCAATTGATTTTCGTGATGATCGGATAATTTTTCACCGAAATATCGTGTCTGACTTGACGTTTTTCTCTATTAGCTATATTGTGCAACTCGTGCTCACTCTACAGGCTACAATTTTTTACAGATTCTTTTGATTTTTATTTTGTGTGTCAATGTCATTATGAAGATGATCCCCATTGATTTTTGTGATGATCGGATAATTTAATGACTTGACGTTTCACTCTATTAGCTATATTGTGCAACCCAGTAGTCACTAAAGACTGTTTAATCATTTCTGACAGCTGCCAGTGGGCGTATGTTACCTTGCCTAGCAAGCTATCTTTTTCATTAGTATTAAATAACTGAAGGATATTTTTGCTGCATAAGGCTGCGTTTCCACCAAGTTTCATGTGACACGTGACAAGAAATATAAACATATGATGTTGGTAGGAACCGTTTCCATCAATGTCACTTTTCACGTTTCACTTGTCAGGCGTGAAATGACACGTTTTTGAAGAATCAACATGTTCATTTTTTTTACCCGTGTCATGTTTCACGTATGACCGATCTGGGGTTTCCCTTGGGTTTTCCCCTGCTTTTACTTTCTCTTTTGTTAACTCCACGTGTTCGTATCGAATTCAAAATGAGCTTGTGTTTTGATCGTCTAAAATTAGTTATTTACGCTTGTCCTAAACATGAATGACTATAAGCACAATCTGATATGCCTTGTGCATAAGACCCCACTTCTATGGGACCCCAGAAATAAAGACTATAAAAACCAAGACCAAAGAAGACAGGTGTGGGAGAAGATTGATGAAAAGCTACAACCACCGCAAGAAGGTATATGAAATGTCCACATTTATTTATCATAAACATACAAATAAACACTAATTTAATTTAATCCAACATAAATCAAGAAACAGATATATGTACTTGGATTGAAGAATAATTCTCTGTATGGATTGTCCATGAGATAGCGAAACGTTCTGGCAAATTTGCCCCTTTCTGGACGCAATAAGTAATGGTCCCTGCACCATATTGAGCGTCTGCTGCAGTTTCTCTTCCTAGCTCGCCGGTACAACAGACATAGAGCAAGAATTTCCTCGTCAGACGAGTCGGAACCGTCACCCATGGCGAACACAGGACGAATGCCATGACATGTGACATGTTCGATGTGAAATCCAGTGGAAACCCCTATTGTCACGTGATACGTGTCACGTGAAACTTGGTGGAAACGCAGCCTAAGAAGCATGAAGTGTCACAAAAAAATACTTTACTTCGGAGGACTAATCATTAGAAATAACCCATCAACCATTATGAGGATCAAAATGAATTATGAACTAATGGAACAATAGATTCTGCATTGAATGGAATTATACTCTATGTGGTCCTACAGAAGAATATTATTCTGTTTAGTTATCAGATAAACTGCTACCATATTGACATAAGTCCTCTTGTCAACATACAGAACAGTGTTTGTGCATTTATTACTTTCTTTGAGATAATGAAATATGTGGTCAATATTAATAAATCTTAAACCATGTAATATTACTTTTTTTTATCTTAGATCTTTATTGATTCTGCTACACTATATTATTAGTTTCCCCTCTTTTATTATCAAAATAATATATCACAAATAATTTCAGTTTTGTCAGCTACAAATTTTAAACTTTTTCCAAGATTGAAGGCAATTTGTATGATATCCATATATTTCTATATTTCACAATAGTTCAGGTTTGATTCCTGCTATTTAAACTTTTTATCAACAGTTAACATTATCACTAACCTTTCCTTCTATTTAAATTATCAGGACAAAAAAGTAAATGATCACCTTCAAATCTAAGGTTCTTAAACACAGTACAATTAACCAATATTAATCTGAACTTCACTACTTACATGACAAGTACATACCAATTGATTATTGCTTAAAGACTAATGTGTGACAATATGTTGGTTATTTAAAACAAATTGCTCTTGTTAAGTCCAGCGCACACTCGTGCCATTATTGAGTCAGAATTCATTTGTGCACTTTTCCTTAAGGCGATAGCTTCCGTGTGCGGCTAAATTTTTGTATGATTTTGGTCAATCGCGTCGAAAAGTTGAAAATCAAACGCTTAGAGGTAACTTTATATATGCATGCGAAGTCACGTGACAATTCAAAATGGCTGCGCCCTTGGAATTGAATTTGATGGATAGTAATTCTTAGTCTTCAGAAGATGAAGAAATATTACTATTAACGCTGTTACCTGTCACCATAAAACTTAGCGCAACAGTCAGCCTTTCACTTGGGCTTATTAAAGGGCGTATTCTATTCTCATGATTGGAATTGATAGGTTCGACCATTGCCCAAACATCTTTAAAAGACTGTCTGTCTAGGCGATGATATTGACGAAATTTCTCGAGATCTTCGACGTGTAAAGCTTCCCTTGAATGCCTTCTCTGGATCCAAGTTCAAACCCACTGTTTGCGACAATTTGCTTTTTCGACTAGGATTACGGCGTGGCAACAGCATTAAAAGCTAAGACTAAGAGTTGGGCTACTATCAAACAAATGGGCGCGCCATTCTGAATTGTCACGTCACTACGCATGCGTACATAAATTCACCTCTAATCAGATAGCTTTCGTTACACGCACACACAAGCATTTGTTCATTCGTGGAAAAATTATCAAACACGTTTTGAAAATAAGAAAGCATAAAGAGTACATAGCAAAAGTATTCAAAGGGTAAGACTAGTGAGAATAAAAGAAGAAAATGGAAGAAGAACTGATTGAAGACTAAATAGTTTCTGTATGCTGACAGATGATCTCATTTATATTATAACTGACCATCAAGGCACACCTATAGATCAGGTAAACACATCAACTCTGTGCCATAAATCAGGAAATATCTGACAAGTCTGAAATATTACTGACTGGTGGTGAGTAAAAACAATAAATTTTGGTGTAAATTGGGCGAAAAGCACCAAAAATATATATATATATAACAAAAAATAGCTTGCCAGGCAAGGTAACATACGCCCACTATCAGCTATCAGAAATGATAACAAAGTCTGTAGAGGTTTAATATGTGAAACCAATTACTAATTTCAAGCTTTACTAAGGTCTCATACCAAGTCTAATCAAGATCGGATATGCAGTCTCTATAACCCTGAAATCGTTCATCCGATTATTACCAATTTCGAACTTGACCGATATCTTATCAATATATACAAACATACCAAGTTTTATCAAGATCAGATAAAAACTGTAGCCTTTATCGTGCATACAAGCCAAATTTAACGCATTTTTACTAAGTCAAGGGCAATAACTGTGAAACCGTTCATGTGATTAGTACCAATTTCAAACTTAACCGAAATTTCATAAATATATACAAGCATACCAAGTTTCATCAAGATCAGATAAAAACTGTAACCTTTATCGTGCATACAAGCCAAATTTAAGGGCAATAACTCTGAAACCATTCATCCGATTATTACCAATTTCGAACTTGACCGAGATCTCATCAATATATATGTGCATACCAAGTTTCATCAAGATCAGATAAAAACTGTAGCCTCTATCGTGTATACAACAAATGTCGACGGACAGGGGCGACAGCAATATACGTCTACATTTCCATGTGGGCGTATAAAAACCAATTCAGGTCACTTTGTTCATAGCCGAGTTGAAGATGCTGTGTTTCAGACATTTACTAATTCATGAAACAACATCCCTAATCCATTTATTATATAAATTTTATTGATTTACATACAATATAAATAATACTTGATACTTAGACACCTACAGCATTAGCATAAATAGAATTGGACATTGATGAAATACTGTGCGTGTTGTTGGATGCCTACTTGAAGGTAATCTCAGGTAAATACAAGTCAATTGTAATCTAATCAGATGTTAAGAAAGTAAAGATATGTTAAAGATCTATTATCAACCTTACATCTGATTAACCAATTAAGCAAGTTAAGCTCAACTTAATCTTAATCTTTTAGAACATGTTAAAACATGGTTTAACTGAAATAACATAGCCAGTCTACCTGTTTTAAATATATTCTGGTTAAATTCTGTGTGGTCTGTATTGTCCTAATCCACCAAGATATACCTACATAAAATCTTTATTTACTACACCCTTTGACTTGTATTCAAAAATCTGTCATACAACTCCCTTGTTTTGTATGATTCCTTTCTCACCTTGATTTGGATCAAATCCAAAAAGTCAGCTAAAGTAGAATCTTGAGATTCTTGTACTGAATAAAATTTCATTATTTATTATTTTAAATTAATAGGCCTCCCACTAGGGTTGCAACGATTCTTGAAGTTGTGATTCGATGCTCTATACGATACGAATTCAACGATACAGTTTATTGCGATGATTATCGCGATTCATTTATTAGAGAAGGAAAGAGAAAAAATAGTAGAAATTTGTAAAATTACTAATAAGTTTGTCAGCACTTGAGAACATTTAGAAGTAAGGAATTGTGAAAAATACCTTTTAAAAAATCTGTCCGAAATAAAGCTATTAGTTGTCAAGTTGTCTTATACTGCAATAACCACCTTTCTTGTATCACAAAAGTTTATAAATACACTAGTAAATACAGTCAATAGAGTGCTTGACAGAAAGGCATTTAAAATAAGAAATAATGATTATGATTTGTTATTTGCTAGTGTACAATTCAATCAAATTACTACATTCTGTGATACAAGAATAGTGGCTATTGCAGTCAAGGTATAAAACTGCATTAAACAGAGAGGAGCATCTTGGAAAACAATTAACATAGCAATATTACAACAAAGCTAAAATTTCATCACATTTTTTTTTGACTGCAATAAACTGTGAAAAGAGGATTGTGTGCACATACATGTGCAAAGCAAAGATTCTATGATCTAATTTACACGATTACCAGTTTGCATAAAAATATAAAGTCACCAACAACTGAGATGATTACTGCTAATTACACAACCTTTAATTAGATTTATTGAACTTAGCAACACTGGTGATACTCTAATATATTCATTGAGTTGATAAAACATCACCGCCACGCTATTCCACATACTTCAGTTATCCTTAGTTTTACAACCACTGATGACTTGAAACCATTTTACTCTGCTACGACAAGAATTCCTGATAACTAACTAGTTATTCTATCAGTTTGGTAAGTGATAAAATCTTCTTTTTTAAATTCTTGTAGAAAGAATTCTAACTAAATAGAACAAATTATTGTGTAAGGAACTATTTTGTAATGAATTATTGTGCAAGTATATAGTTATGTGATTAAGACCGATCTATAGATTGGCTTACTCAGAAGAGGCAATCTTCAAAAGGTGTTATTTGAGATTCCTGAAAGTCAGGTTAGGAGAAGTTGACGTAAGCTTTTCTCCATAAAGGTGACTATTAATAAAAATCAAATCAAAGCACACTAATACCTACATTTGTATACCATTTCCACTGATTCATAGCAAGCAATCAAATTATATCAACATATTCTGACAATTTAAAATCAAAGAAAGGAATTGATGATGTTTTCTGTGATTTTAGAATATCAAGGCACAAACAATATAATAAGTAGGCTGGTAGGATATGATTGTTGAAAGCTAAAGTAAATAGTTTAAGAGTTTATTATAAACATGTGAAGACAATATATTCTACTGATTAAAAACATGCCTGTATCTCCTGCAGTTTTCTTTCTCATCTTTTTATTTTTTACCTATTTTCTTTATACTTAAGGTATTTTAATATTTTTAGCACACTGCCAATCTTCCTTCATACAACAATGTCATTCATTATTTAATGTACGATAGCAACATTTTAACGAAGTCATTTTCTGTTGTTTTTGTACAGACAAGAAACCCTGTCTTTATTCTATTGTAAATCTATCTATCATGTGTACAGTTTCAATGCCTATTCATCCTGGATCTACAACATGTACATTTTAAATTTCTATCTGTGTTAGACCTACCACATGTACATTTTAAATTTCTATCTGTGTTAGATCTATCATGTGTACATTTTAAATTTCTATCTGTGTTAGATCTACCACATGTACATTTTAAATTTCTATCTGTGTTAGATCTATCATGTGTACATTTTAAATTTCTATCTGTGTTAGATCTACCACATGTACATTTTAAATTTTTATCTGTGTTAGATCTATCATGTGTACATTTTAAATTTTTATCTGTGTTAGATCTATCATGTGTACATTTTAAATTTCTATCTGTGTTAGATCTATCATGTGTACATTTTAAATTTTTATCTGTGTTAGATCTATCATGTGTACATTTTAAATTTCTATCTGTGTTAGATCTACCACATGTACATTTTAAATTTCTATCTGTGTTAGATCTACAACATGTACATTTTAAATTTTTATCTGTGTTAGATATACCACATGTACATTTTAAATTTTTATCTGTGTTAGATCTACAACATGTACATTTTAAATTTCTATCTGTGTTAGATCTATCATGTGTACATTTAAATTTCTATCTGTGTTAGATCTATCATGTGTACAATTTACAAATGTAAATAGATGTGTACATCTACAATTTTCTTTAGTCCAAAATCTATCAGAGCACACATTCAATTTCCATCTATCTAATATCGTGAACTCTATCACACTCGCACACTTTCAATTTCCTTATGACTGGTGGTCCATCAAGTGTACACTTTCAATTTCTATCATTCTGGTTATCTGGTGATTTGCAAAATTTCAGTCTGACTTGTGATGTATCATGAAAACACTTTCAATTTCCCTGTCAGAAAATCATTCTTGAAATCACACACTTTCAATTTTCCTGTCTTAAATCTATCTTGAACATATTTTCAATTTCCCTGTCGAAAATCTATCTTGAACACACTTGCAATTTAATCAGCAAGAGAATTTATAATGTGCACAATTTGAGAAGATGCTGCAAACTTTAGCGATGATCGAGGGTAAGAGTTAAAAAACGAATTCATTTTAATGAGGTTCAGAAGAAATATTATTTTATTAAGAATATCTTAATTAATGATGTTTAGATTTCTATTAATATCATATTACCATATCCACCATCTGTTTAATGTTTACCTTTCTACTGCATGATTCATAATACAGATATTTGTATCTTTATTCAGGATATGATTATAATTAGATCTACTAATATAAAATATAATGCAGATTAGTGCTGACTATATTGTTAAATCAATACACAGGATACAGGATGCACCACGCCAAAATATATGTATCATATTGTGTCAAGTATCGATACATCACAATACAAGTCTTACATATTATCTATTACACCATATTGTAGCCTTTAAATTGTGATATGTATTGTATCTTGGTATGAAGATAAAGGTTTACTCCGAAAGACTCTCTCACTTTAGACAAGTGTTCATATAAGGTTTCCTGAAAGGAAAGTACTAAAAGAAATGTGTGCTGTATAATAATGAAATTTCCCTACTTATTTCCCATATTTTAACTACGACTGTTGATAGGACATATCCTATTCAAAATTTTTGTTTCCTTAAATGATCAAATGGTTTTATTGTTTTAACAGTCACAATGAAATTGTAAATTTACCAATGAGGATTTCTGACCAAGACCATTTAAAATTACTGGCCTATTTTTTACCGTGATCACACACAAGATCCATACCAGAGACTACTATAGTCTAGCTATTACTTAGTGAATAAAAAGTTCCCCAGGGTCAAATAAAACAAATAGTCTTAATGTGATCTTCTGGTGGTAAATGATAGAATTTACCAAATTGAATCTATTAACAAGCTGAACTGATCATGTGATAAATGGTGCCTGGAATTCTATACTCAGTAGAAAATACTAGAAATTGGTAATGACTTGAATTATCTTCTTCTTACAATTGATTATATGTTCATTTTTTGAATAATCAATAGCTATATAACAAGTCAGTCTACAGTTAATTCAGTTTGGTTTGAATAGCATCTACAGGTTTGTTGCAACCAAAAGAAATTAACTGGTGTTTGTTTTTTCCTTAAGAATATTTTTCTATACTGCTGTGATACTGTACACTTGTATGCATGCCATGTATATTATCTCTGAATATACCAAAAGCTGTATCTGATATAGCCTGATAAATCTTGTCCTACCTGTTCCTAAGATGTGATATACAGATGGGATATTGCTACATTTACAGCCAGATATAACATGTCACATTTTATAGGAGTTGCTCCAATCCAATTTTGAATTGTTATGTTTCTGAGAAATTCCTGGTAGATCCAGATTTGTGATAGGGATTGAAAGGTCAGAGAATGGATGATTGATTTTTGGACACAATCCACAGTTTACCACCATTATGATTACCACAAGGTTATCAATATGTTTATTTTAATGATGTGTTTACAGAGCTTCTGTTACATATTTAATACTGATGATGAAAATATCAGATTTATTTTAAGTAAAAGAATTGGTAAACTGATCTTTATCAGAAATTGTAAACAAGATTAGAAGAAAATGACCTTTATAATCTATTTCTTATTGAGGATATTCTTCGCCAATTTTCTTATCTTTACCCACACTAGTACATCATTCAACAAGTCAACTTATTTCTAGGGTGGTAAGGTGAATATCAGACTGATTAGATCTCTTCGTATCAACACTTTCTTATTTACTTTAAGGTATAATTATCAACGGCCAACTGAGGTGTACTAAATACAGAAGGTCTGTAATTATGGTGCTGTCAATATCTTACCAATCATTGTTTAAAGTTTACATCATTTCACATAGAAATAACTCCTTACACATAACTCTTCATCAATTCATCTTGATATTTCAGAAAATGTCATCTGTGCCTTCCACTTATTTTATTTGAATCACAGAAGCTACAAAAACATGTTTATCATTGCTTACAGCCAAAATACACAGAAGTCTTTCAAGCAATGGTTCAGGATTACATCTTTTTTTTCCTGGCTTGTATAGTAAGACTTCATAATAGATCAAAATAGATTGTTTGTCCTAACTATCTGTCCTAACTAAGTGTCTTATTCTTATTAGATATTTCAACACATTTTACACAGTTATATTACATCTCAAATAAAAGTAAGATACAAAATGGAAGACAAAAAATAAGTATAAATTGCCTCTGATCTGACATGAGAATCATGAATTAACTGTGTGAGCAATCACATCATTGATTAAAGAGATGGAGAGGGTACTAGATGTTGGCCAGAGAGTACTCAGTCGGAAAATTATTGATTCCTGTTAGAATATGGAATAAGATGATGAAGCTGTGGCAGACTTAGCCAAGATTAACACACTACACAATAACTGTGTATGAACTCTGACTAGAGGTCACAATCTGTGGTGCTTAACCTCAATGTTCATTTGTGAAAAGAGGTCTTATAAATTTAATGCCACATTCAAACACAAATACTTTTCATATATCATTCTGACTATTACAAATTTTAATTACAGTAACCATAGAAAACATATAATAAAAATCAATGTTGAGTAAAATTGGAAAATATGTTATAATTCTATAACAAAGGAAACATGACATCAACAAGGTGGAATTATTTTTGGTTTGAGAACATTTTATAGAGAAGAAATTTTATTAATTTCAAGTCAGAGTATTCTGTCCAATGATTATTTATTCTATCCAAAGTAAGTTGAATATCTTTCATAAGATCTGTATCCTGTTACCATGGGCAGTGTTTGTAATATTCAGAACACTTAGTAACTTAAGGATGAGGTCATGATTTTGTTGATTTATCTTTTAATAGTGATCATCATTTAATGGCACTATGGACAACAATGGCAGTATTGATAAAAAATAATTAAAATCTATAACATCTATTGATTCACAAGTATTAAACACTTATACAATATAAGTATCTATTCACTGATTTCATATGGCCATGAAAATTCCATTACTGAGGTAAATACAGCCAGATTTATCATATTTCTAAATCTAAATTCATCGAAAAATTCTATACAGTTCCCATGAGGTTTGCTCAAGTATTGAATAGTTTTAGAAAAGCTGATCAGAAAATAGCTTTCAGGGGTAATTCAGAATTTTACGAAAATAAGACTAAATAGAAAGCTCATATACGAAACATAGACAATGAACAAAAATGTTAATTATGGCAACATAAAGACAAAATATGAACATCACATTAAATTGGACAAATTAAGTTCAATATTTCATCATTACTTTTCATTTCTTATCAAACCATGTTTTCAATAAAAATATTTTAGACCAATAAAATGGTCCTAGCTTCTGGCATTCCCTTGTTATTTCTTGTTAGAGAAAATCAATTTGTCTAAAGCAAGTTGGTTCCTTGTTAATTTCCTTAACGTCTTCCAAGCTTCAGCCAACATGAATCATTGGTAGTTCCAACTTTTCTTCTATTTCTTCATGAAAATAGACTCAAATATTACAAGAACACTTGACAAAAAAGATACAAGAAGGTACAAGAAGGCCACAAATTTTTACTTTGACCCCAAACTGGTCTCAAAGTGGTAAATTATTAGATTTTCAGAAAGGGAAGGTTTGATTCTCCTAAATGTACAGGCCCAGAATGGAACAAATACTTCATTTAGAAATTGGAATAAGTGGTCTTGAACTGCTTGGTATTTAATTCTTCTCGAATCTGAAATTTTCGATTGTTGCAAACATGTTACATAAAAAGTTTGAGGTAATTTACAAGTGTAAATTAAAGTTTCCAGATTGTAAGAAAAAAGACTGAATTCATTGCTTTCCATCATGCCATTTGGATAAAATTGAACAGTTTCATCAAGAAAGCAGGCAATATTCAGTGAAGCAGGGATGTTAATGGAGAAAAAATGGATCTAGTCAATAGATTGGTCATATTTCACCATTATTCACGATTTTCTATTTAGATCTTTTGACAGGTCAAAATAACATGGAGTGTGTGTTAATCTCTAGAAAACATGATCTATCAATTTTATAGATTTCATTCATCTCACTTGTGAAATTAACTTCATGATTATTTTATCACAGGCAAAACTCAATTCACAATTTGGGCCCCCTGAAGTTAGGGTCAGATATGACCATCTAGTCAAGGTCCAGAATAAGAATGTGATTCGGTTATTGTATCATTTTGCTATTTGCGGATAATAGATATTTTGATGTCAAGAGAGTTTTTATAAATCTTTTTATTCCAATTATTTATTATTCCGCTTTAGTAAAACTACCAAGCTAATTTCCAAGAGTTACCAAGTACAATCAACAAAACTTTTTAAATACCTTAAAGTAAAAAAGGTGATAATAGTTAAGAAAATATTTAGCACCAAGAGAATAAATTTAATTAAATATTGTAATGAAAGGAATATCTGACAAGCTAAACTATTTCACAGCTCATAAACAAAATTAAAAATATTACCACATCTTCATATTAACACAATTAACTGAAAGAGTAATTTTAATGAATATCTTGAATTCTTTAATTCTATAGCTTTTAAAGGTACACCTTCACTATCCATTCAACGAATCATACCTTAGTTTCAGAAACAGGAATTTTTTTAGCTTACATAATCAGTAATTTCTAGTTTGAAGATATATTTGAAGGGATTATTCGATATTCGTGCGTTTTAGTACTTCTTAAGACTATTAAAGCACAATCAAGACCCAAATCAAACCCCTGAAAATGCCGACTGTTCCTCTTTAACATAGTTCCAAAAGGCATATCAGATATACGCATATTGCAATTCTTCTCCAAGGGACAGGTGCGCTATTTTAAGGGGTTGATTTGAGTATTAAATATATGTCAATAGTCTTCAGAATACTAGAAATGTATGAAAATCGCACAATTCCTTCAAAAATATCTCAAACTAGGAATTTATTTTTCTATTTCTAAAGATAGTGGACCACAGCAATGTACGCCCACCACGGCATGCAGATGGTAAAGATTTTGGGGCAAGGGCAATAACGGTTGAAAATAGCTCAAATTCGAACTTGACCTTCGTTTTATGAATATGTATACACATACCAAATTTCATTTAATTCCATCAAAAAATCTAGTTTTTAGAGCGTTTACTAGCAAATGACGGCCGGACAGACGGACAGACCGATAGGGGTGCCTACAATATACGTCCACATAGAGAGATG